GCTTGCTGTGGGTTTGTCATATATAGCTTAAAAAGCCTCTTGATGAAAGTGAAAGAGGAGAGTGAAAAAGTTGGCTTAAAGCTTAACATTCAGAAAACTAAGATCATGGCATCTGGTCGCATCACTTCATGGCAAATAGATGGGGAGACAGTGGAAACGGTGTCAGACTATTTTTTGGGGCTCCAAAATCACTGTGGATGGTGACTGCAGTCATGAAATTAAAAGACGCTTACTTCTTGGAAGGAAAGTTATGACCAAACTAGACAGCATATTAAAAAGCAGAGACATTACTTTGCCAACAAAGGTCCATCTGGTCAAGGCTATGGTTTTTCCAGTGGTCGTGTATGGATGTGAGAGTTGGACTGTGAAGAAAGCTGAACACCAAAAAATTGATGCTTTTGAACTGTGGTGTCAGAGAAGACTCTTGAGAGTCCCTTGGACTGCAAGGAGATCCAACCAGTCCATCCTGAAGGAGATCAGTCCTGGGTGTTCATTGGAGGGACTGATGCTGAAGCTGAAACTCCAATACTTTGGCCACCTGATTCGAAGAGCTGACTCATTGGAAAAGACCCTGATGTTGGGAGGGATTGGGGGCAGGAGGAGAAGGGGGCAACAGAAGATGAGATGGCTGGATGGCATCACTGACTCGATGGGCATGGATTTGGGTAAACTCCAGGAGTTGGTGATGGACAGGGCGACCTGGCATGCTGCAATTCATGGGGTGGCAAAGAGTCGGACATGACTGAGCGACTGAACTGAACTGAACTGTCGCAAGTTAGGGCTTCCCAGGTGGTGCAAGTGGTAAAGAATCCACCACCCAGTGAATCCACCTGCCAATGCAGAAGACAGAAGAGAAGCGGATTGGATCCCTGGATCAGGAAGATCCCTTGGAGGAGGACATGGCAACCCACTCTAATATTCTTCCCGGGAGAATCCCATGGATAGAGAACCCTGGCAGGCTATAGTCCTTATGTCGCAGAGTTAGACAGGACTGAACAACTTAGCATGCATGCAAATCATCTAATTTTAAACCCTGTAACTTTCAGGTGAATCCTGGAAGCTCTTGGATTGGCCAAAAGTTTGTTCAGTTCTTTTCCTGTAAAATGGCTCTAGTATTGCTTAGTTGTCTTTAACTTTGTTTGAAACAATTTTGTTAGATTGTATTGTGACTGCTGACATACCAGTGTGCATTTTTTAAAAAACTTATCAAATTGGTGAATTTTTGTGTAGCCATTTTAATACTGAAGACAGAAGAAAAAAGGAACATTTCTGGCATAGTATGTTTGGCATAATATGCATATACCATTTTTGGCATATTTAATATATCAAGAAAGATAAAAATGAAACTGAAAAAGAAACAAAGATTTGCACAGCAGCTGCTGTGAGTGATCGAACATGTCAAAAGTGGTTTGTGAAATTTCGTGCTGGATATTTCTGGCTGAACAATGCTCCACATTCGGGTACACCAGTTGACAGGGATCAAATCAAGACATGAAGTGAGATCATTCAATATTACATCACGTGGGAGACAGCCACCATACTCAAAATATCAGAATCAAGTGTTGAAAATCATTTGCATCAGCTTGGTTACGTTAATCACTTTGATGTTTGGGTTCCACATAATTTAAGCGAAAAAAGCCTTCTTGACCATATTTCCACCTGTGATGCTCTACTAAAACATAATGAAAATGGTCTGTTTTTAAAACAAATTGTGATGAGCAATGAACAGCTAAAGAGACTGTGGGGCAAGTGAAATGAACCACCATCAGCCACACCAAGCGAATATGTACTGCTCTCAATTAGACCAGCTGAAGTTAGTACTCAATAAACAGTGTCCAGAACTAGTCAACAGAAAGGGCATAATCTTCCATCATGACACTGCAAGACTGCATGTTTCTTTGATAACCAGGCAAAAACTGTTGCAGCTTGGCCGGGAAGTTCTGATCCATCTGCTCTGTTCACCAAACATTGCATCTTTGGATTTCCATTTATTTCAGTCTTTATAAAATTCTCTTAAGGGAAAAAGTTTCAAATCCCTGTAAAACTGTAAAAGGTACATGGAACAGTTCTTTGCTCAAAAAGATAAAACATTTTGGGAAGATGGAATTATGAAGTTGCCTGAAAAATGGCAAAAGAAAGAGGAACAAAATGATGAATACATTTCAATAAAGTTCTTGGTGAAAATGAAAAACGTGTCTTTTATTCTTACCTGAAAAATCAAAGGAACTTTTTGACTAACCTAATACAATGACTGCAGATTGTACCTGTGGTTAGATCATTAAGCTTGCTGCTGTCTCTCTCTCTTTTAAGTTTTATTGATTTATCCTTTCACTCATTCATTTTGACGGCACTGGGTCTTCATTGTTGTGCACAGGTCTTCCCTAGTTGCAGCAAACGGGAGCTACTCTGCATGGTGGTGTGTGGGCTTACTGTGCTGACTTCTCTTGTTATGGAGTACAGGCTCTGGGCTCAGGCTTCAGTAGTTGTGGGGCATGGGCTTAGTTGCTCCTCGGCATGTGGAATCCTCCCAGACCAGGGATCAAACCCCTGTCCCCTGCGTTGGCAGGTGGATTTTTAACCACCGGACCACCAGGGAAGTCCTGGGTCTCTTTCTTAATGGCACTAATCCCAGCCAGGGGGCTCCACCCTCATGACCTAATCACTTCCCAAAGGACCCACCTCCTAATACCTGGGGTTTGTTGTTGTTGTTTAGCTGCTAAGTCATGTCCAACTCTTTTTGGACCCCCATGGACTGTAGCCCGCCAGGCTCCTCTGTCCATGAAATTCACCAGGCAAGAATACGAGACTAGAGTGGGTTGCCACTTCCTTTTCAGGGGACCTTCCTGACCCAGAGATCGAACCTGAGTCTCCTGCACTGGCAGATGAACTCTTTACCACTGAGCTCAAAAGGAAGCCCCAATACTTGGGATTAGGTTTTCAACATATGAATTTTGGACGGGACACAGCAATCAGTCTATGACATTCTAACTCTGGTCCCCCAAATTAATGTTCTTGCATGCAAAATGCATCCTTTTATCCCAACAGACCCCCAAGCCTTCATTCATTCCAGTATCAACTTTGTCTAAAGTTCAATGCCTCAACTAAATATCATCCAAGTCAGATATGGATGAGACCCCAGGCACAATCCATCCAAAACAATCTCCCCTCCAGCTAAGATGCTGTGAAATCAAACAAATTGTGTACTTTCAAAATACAGTAGTGGGACCAGCATACCATAGACATTCCCATCGCAAAACAGAGAAACTGGGAAGGAGAAAAATTTGATGAATCAGAAACATCCACTCTATGGCAGGAGTCTGCAGGGATTGGAGACTGTGGAGAATTTTTAGGATGTCTTAGTTATAAAAACCACTTAATAGATCTCTGGCCCCAACATTATTTCTTTAAAAAAAAAAACATTATTGGAGTATAGATGATTTGCAATGCTGTGTCAGTTTCTGGAGTACAGCAAAGTGAATCAGTTATACATACCCATGTGTGTTGAGTCACTTCAGTTCTGTCTGACTCCTTGAGACCCTGTGGACTGTAGCCCGCCAGACTCCTCTGTCCATGGGATCCTCCAGGCAAGAATACTGGAGTGGGTTGCCAAGTCCTCCTCCAGGGGATCATCCCGACCCAGGGATTGAACCAGCATCTCTTACACCTCCTGCATTGGCAGGTGGATTCTTTACCACTCAGTCAGTTCAGTCTCTCAGTCATGCCTGACTCTTTGCATCCCCATGAACTGCAGCACACCAGGCCTCCCTGTCCATCACCAACTCCCGGAGCTTGCTCAAACTCATGTCCATCAAGTTGGTGATACCATCCAACAATCTCATCCTGTCATCCCCTTCTCCTCCTGCCTTCAATCTTTCCCAGCATCAGGGTCTTTTCAAATGAGTCAGTTCTTCTCATCAGATGGCCAAAGTATTGGAGTTTCAGGTTCAGCATCAGCCCTTCCAATGAATATTCAGGACTGATTTCCTTTAGGATGGACTGGTTGGATCTCCTTGCAGTCCAAGGGACTCTCAGGAGTCTTCTCCAACACCACAGTTCAAAAGCATCAATTCTTCGGCACTCAGCTTTCTTTATAGCCCACCTCTCACATCCATACATGACTACTGGAAAAACCATAGCTTTGACTAGATGGAACTTTGTTGGCAAAGTAATGTCTCTGCTTTTTAATATGCTGTCTAGGTTGGTCATAACTTTTCTTCCAAGGAGTAAGCATCTTTTAATTTCATTGCTGCAATCACCATCTGCAGTGATTTTGGAGCCCCCCAAAATAGTCTCTCACTGTTTCCATCGTTTCCCCATCTATTTGCCATGAAGTGATGGGACCGGATGCCATGATCTTAGTTTTCTGAATGTTAAGCTTTAAGCCAACCTTTTCACTCTCCTCTTTCACTTTCTCAGGAGGCTCTTTAGTTCGTCTTCACTTTCTGCCATAAGGGTGATGTCATCTGAGTATCTAAGGTTATTGATATTTCTCCCGGCAATCTTGATTTCAGCTTGTGCTTCATCCAGCCCAGCGTTTCTCATGATGTACTCTGCATATAAGTTTAATAAGCAGGGTGACAATATACAGCCTTGATGTACTTGTTTCCTGATTTGGAACCACTCTGTAATTCCATGTTCAGTTCTAACTGTTGCTTTTTGACCTGCATACAGGTTTCTCAGGAGGCAGGTCAGGTGGTCTGGTATTTCCATCAACTGAAGAATTTTCCAGTTTGCTGTGATCCACACAAAGGCTTTGGCATAGTCAATAAAGCAGAAGTAGATGTTTTTCTGGAACTCTCTTGCTTTTTTGATGATCCAGTGGATGTTGGCAATTTGATCTCTGGTTCCTCTGCCTTTTCTAAATCCAGCTTGAACACCTATTAGATGTTCTATTAGATATTCACATGCAAAACCAATATAACACACGTCTAGTTGGACTCTCTTTGTAGCACATTAGATTTTAAATGAGTAACAGACAAAATGATTTAAGCAAACATCACCTGGTAATTGTAAAGCCGTGAACCATATTCTGCAATTAGAGCATAAATTTGTCTGGATTTCTGAGGAAACTCTTTCTCTTTAAGCTTCATGTGATTTATAAATCCTGTTAAAGAAAAGATTAACTTTGATTAAAGAGTTTATCTGGAAATACTTATATTTTACATTGATGAAACAATTTATATTTTTAGACAGCACAAGAAAAAAATAAAAGTCCTTTCTCTGTGTCCATTTGGGCCTCCTCCCCCCTCCTTGATGTGTGGTGTGCATGCATATTACACATTAACCACAGCTCCTCAAAGATGGGGATGAACTTTATGTAAATATCAGTATGTCATTTTGACATGAGCCTTTGTCTCAAAAATGTATATGACGGTGCCTTCAACTTCTAACACATGGAACAGTTCTTAGAGCTCCTGAGAGTCTGTCTCATGGGATATAATCCTCAGTTTAGCTTGAATAAAATTCTTCTTTTTTCTTCGTGATTGTTAATTGAATTTTTGTTGACAACATATATTAATAGAAATTCCTCTAAGCAGGGAAGCTATAGCAAGTTACTTTTTCTTTTAATCTTTCATTGTGCGGGGTGTTCGGTGCTGTGTGGGATTTTCTCTAGTTGAGACCGAGGGGCCTCCTCTCAGGCTGCAGCGCTCCGGCTTCTCACTGCAGTGGCTTCTGCTCATGCAGAAGGGCACATGCTCACGGTGCATGAGCTTCAGCAGCTGAGGCTCACAGGCTTAGTTGCTCCTCAGCATGTGGGATCTTCCCAGACCAGGGATCAAACCCATGTCCCCTGCATTGGCAGGCAGATTGTTTATCACTGGACCATCAGGGAAGTCCTATATCAGGTTCTTGAGTGACAGTAATTTTCAATGGCAGCAAAAGGTGCTCAAAAAATTGTTCCTCCAATTGAAACAATCATCAGCTGGCAAAGACTAACAAGATGAACTTTGTTGGAATTCCAAAAGCTAATCACAATCTTGCATCAACCAGAGGACTGAAGGAAAGGGCAGGTTATTTTTGGCAAGAGAGCAGTGTGGCATTATCACTCACTTGCATACCATCTCCCAGAATGGTGGCGGTGGCTGTGTGGGTGCCAATATTGCTGGCACCGCTTGCTTGTGCCAGGGATATAACACAGACCTTGTTCTTCAGCTACTCTGACTTTACACATTCATCTACCTGGTATTGCCCTGACTGTCTAGTGCAGAGGCCAATCTTTGCCTCTATCCACTCCCATGCACTGGAAAAATTTTCTGGGAGGGTATAATGACTGTTCAAAGAATTAAAGACAAACTGGCCATGACCGTCTGGGCAAGGGACGGTGAATGGAGATGATGGCAGACAGATCCAACATCATGGCAGACAGAAGGCAGAGGATGAAGGCTCACGTGGGAGCAAGGGCTTGGGAGGGAAAGCGGAGGGCAGTGTGAGTGTCCAGGACTGGACGCGTGCTCAAGGAAGGTCCCAGAAGACCCCAGGCTTGCACCTTTGGTGGGTCTGTGGGCTGCATGCAAACAGGAGGTGAAGATTATGGCAGAGCTGTGGGTGGCCCAGGCTGGCCCTGAAATAGAGTCCCAGCCAGAGCCAAACAGCCCGCACTGGGAGAGCAGTTCTCACACCCTTGCTCTCTCCTTCTTATTCCTGATTCTAGGAAACCTGTCAGGTCACTGGTTGACCACTGTGATATCAGAAAAGTGACCATCACGAAACAAATGACTACAGCCCTCAACAAGCAGCAAAGCCACCTTTGGAAAAGGGGAGAAGCCAGTTCCCAGGGTTACTGTGCTATAAAACTGAAATGTCTGGTTTACAACACAAAATCACAACACATACAAAGAAACAGGAAAGTACAGCTCATTAAAGGGGAAAAATTTGACTGACATCTCTGAGCAAGTTCAAACTCCGAACTGACTGGACAAAACTTGGCAAACCAACTGTCTTAAATGGGCTCAAAAACTAAAGGAAACCACAGACCAAGAACTAAAGAAAACCGAAGAAATGACGTGTGAGTGAAATGAGAAGATCAACTGAAAAATTATAAAAGGAAACAAGTACAAATTCTGGAGATGTAAAGTACAATAGCTGAAATGAAAAAATTCACTGAATGGGCTCAACAGCAGATCTTAGCGGGAAAAGGAGAGATTCAGTGAACTCAAAAATAGAACAATTGAAATTATCACGTGTGATGAGAAAGAGGAGAATTGCAAATCCAGAGCTAGGCCTATACATCTACAGTTGACTGCATTTTTTTGACAAGGGTAACAAGACCATTCAATGGGGAAAAATATCTTTTCAACAAATGATGCTGAGACAACAAGATATCTATTTGCTAAAAAATGAATCTGGTTCATTTTTAATTCATTTGCTAAAAAATGAATATGAAATTTAAAAATTCATATTATATATAAAAAATAACTCAAAATGGATCAATTAGCTAAATATAAGAGTGAAAATCATAAAGTTCTCAGAAAAAACACAGAGGTAAGCTGTCATGACCTAGAATTTAGTAATGTATTCTTAGACATGACATCACTAAAATTAAAACCTTTTATGCATCAAAGGACATTACTTAAAAAGTGAAAGGACAATCTATTGAATGAAAGAAAATATTATATATCTGAGAAGAGTCTAGTATCCAGAATATATATTTTAAAAATTCTTACAAGTCAACAACAAAAAGACAAAAACCCAATTAAATGGGCAAAGAACTAGAAGAAATTTTCTCCAAAGAGGAGGTAAAAAAAAAAAAAGAAGAAGAAGAGGTATAAATGGCAAACAAGTACATAAAAAGTTGCTCAATATTAGCTGATATCATTCACTGGTGGTGGTGGTTGTTTAGTCACTGACTCATGTCCGACTCTTGCAACCCCACAGACTGTAGTCTGCCAGGCTCCTCTGTCCACAGAATTTCCCTGGCAAGAATACTGGAGTGGGTTGCTATGTCCTTCTCTAGGTACCAGGCATTAGGGAAATACAAATCAAAATCTCAGTGAGCCAGCACTTCACGTCACCAGGATGGCTGCAGTTGTAAAATAATAGCAAGTGTCAGTGAGGACATGGGAAAACTGGGACCGTCACACACTACTAGCGGGAAAGTGACACGGGGCAGTTTCTCTGGAAAACAAGGGCAGCTCCTCCCTAGCAATTTACCAGTAGGTGTATCACCCATAGAATTGAAAATAGGTATTCAAACAAATACGGGTACACACATGTTCATAGCAGCACTATCCACAACACCCAGAGGGTGGACACGGTGGATGTTCACCCATAGCTGAATGGGTAAACAAACTGCATTTACATTTGCATACGTTGCAATATTATTCAGCTGCAAAAAGGAATGATTCATCTACACTGGGATGAGCCTCAAAAACATGAGCTTAGTGAAAGAAGCCCAACAAAAATGGCCATACATTGTATGATTCCATTTATATGACACATTCAGAACATGTGTGTCCTTAGAAAGCATATTGTTGCCAGGGACTGGGGTGGGGGCATGCTGGGGAGTGACTAAGGGGTGTGGGGTTTCTTTTGGGGTTGGTGAAAATATTTTGGAAATAGAAGTAGTAGTTGCACAACATTGTGAAGCACTAAATGCCACTGAGTTGTTCATGTCAAAATGGTCAGTTTTATATTATGTGGATTTCACCCTAGTAAATAAAAATGGATCCAAGTTCAGTTTAATTCCATTGAAATCATCAACACATCAGTGGTGGCTAAAGAGGATCTGGCACTTTTGTGGGCAAATGGGTAACCTTATTGTTGGGAAAGACAAAGAAGCAGTTTGCACACACTAAGATGTATACATTTTGTTCTTAAAAGATGTCAAAGGAGAGACTTTGCTGGCAGTCCAGTGGTTAAAACGTCCCCTTCCAATGAAGGGATTGCAGGTTCAGTCCCTGGTTGGAAAATAAGATCCCACATGCCTCTCAACCAAAAAAAAAAAAAAAAAGAAAGAAAGAAAGTAAAACAGAAGCAATATTGTAACAAATTCAATAAAGATTTTTAAAATGGTCCACATCAAAAAAAAAAAAATTAAAAAATGTCTAAGGAATATAGGGCATTCATTTCCAAAACAAGGAAAATTCTGAGCACAAACAGTTCTACTGTTCACACAGCGTGTCCCTGACACGGGCAGGGAGGTGGAGCCTCAGATGTGCAGGCATGGATCACTGGACACAGGGTTGGGGTAGGGCTGCGGGAAATCTCAAGGGCACAGGGCTCATGAGTCGGGAGCAAGGGGGTTGGGGGAGGGCTGCTGAAGCTCTGAAGCTGAAATCAGCAGAGGTGAAGACCAGACAGCTGGAAGCAACAGAGCCAGACAGCGTGTAGCTCTCAGTAGAATCGGAATCTTCGAGATGAAGTTTAGAGGTCTGCTGAGATGGGATGGTGCTCAGGGCTCTAAGGTGCAGCCGAAGGAAGGCTGGTACAGACTTCAGGGAGCCCTCAGTCCAGGCATCCACGTGCAAGCCCCACTGAACAGCCCCCGTTGCTGTGTAAAACGGCATTTTGTGGCAATAACAGGGTGAAACTCTGACTTCCCTGGACACTCTGCAATTCAAGGTGTCCACATACGACAGAACGAGTTTCCATTGCACTAGGATTCATGGTGCGTGATATTTACGGCCAGAAAATGGCAAACCGTGTGCTCTATCACTTCTTCAAGACCCCCGTGATGGGTCAGTCTCCGACTGTCAAAATCCTTCACGATGACTCACCCAGATTTAGAAGAGGTCAACTGTATGTGTTTGCAACAAAAATATAAAGGGTTCCTAACTTCAGAGCAACTTCTCTGATTTTGAACTGTGATTCTGTAACAGGGAAGAAAAAATCTAACTCCATATTTGATCTGTTTCTGTTAATCATTGCTTTCCATGGCTTTTGTCTGTTAAAAAGATACTATCTATACATAATGGCTTGCCTTGGGGAACCCTTCCCTTCTGCATGAATGTTAAACTAACCCGTCTTTGTTCAGCTCACTGGGAGACACTCTGACCCTGCCCACTTGTGCATGACAGCAGGAAAAACAAATGAATGCATCCCTTCCCTGAGGATGGCCAAACCAGGAGATATTTTGCATCACTTACGGCCTTTTGATTTCCCAGGTGGCTCAGACCGTGAAGAATTTGCCTGCGATGCAGGAGGAGGAGTAGTGGGTAGTGTTAGTCGCTCAGCTGTGTTTGACTGAGACCCCACGGACTGTGGCCTGCCAGGCTCCTCTGTCCCTGGGATTCTCCAGGCAAGAGTACTGGAGTAGAGTGCAATGCAGGAGACCTGGTTTGGGAAGATCCCCTGGACAAAGAAGGAATGGCACCCCACTCCAGTACTCTTGCCTGGAGAATCCCATGGACAGAGGAGCCTGGTGGGCTGCAGTCCGTGGGGTCTCTAAGAGTCCAACACAACTGGGCGACTACTGCTACCACACTACTACTCCGGCATCACAGGACTAACTAACTGAGTGACTTATGCTTTCGCTTCATGGTCTTTTTACTTTACTTCCTCCCCTCCTCCTCTCTGTTCTGTAAAAGAAACTGGCATCCAGACCCCATAATATAGTACTCCAGGACTCTCATCCACCATCTTCTCGGATGCCCAGCTTTCTGAATAAAGCCTCTATTTCTTGCCTCGACACCTTGCCTCCCGATTATTGACCTGTCCTGTGTCAGACAGAACGAGCTTAGACCTGGTAACAATTCTAAGAGAAATTAAGTTCTCACTAAGTTTTCAACAAAGAAACCCATATTACTTTTACAAGAGAACCTGAGTGCTGCAACTCCTGAGTCCTCAAGCCACAAGGGAAGACCCTACATGATGCCACAAAGACTCCTCCTGCTGCAACTAAGGTCTGATGCAGCCTAACAAATGAATAAACAAATGCTGAGGGGGAGGGGGGAAAAAGGAATGGTTACCAGCACGCAGTCACTTCCAGGTTTCTGGGCCACTTATTGCAAATGCTAGTCATTCCCCTGCCATCTCTCTCATCATACACACACCCTGTGAAATGGCTTCAAGGATCATTACTGAGTAAGACTCACCCAGAAGAAGCAAAGTCAGTATAAACACCATGCCCATGACAGTCTTCCATGATCTAGTTAACCTAAAAAGAAGAAAAATAACAGCAAAAAGAATTTAGCAATACACCACTCTTAACCTTTAATTTGAACTTTAACCTCTACAGCCAAGTCGACAGACATGACTAGGCTGAGCATGTGAGTTCATTTAATTCCTAATCCACTTTCTGTAAAACTGAGGGGAAAGAGCGTTCAGAGTGGTGTATATACGTATTCACACATACATACACCATACACACCACTCTTTCACACACGTTACTGCCCTGTTGCTGCATGTTTTTATGCCTATAAATGTCTATGAAGAAGAAAGCAAAAGAGGTTATCTTAGAGGTCTGCAAAGTATCATCAGCCCGGAAGATAAAAGAAAAAAGTCAGAGTCTGGACTGTAGCCCACCAGGCTCCTCTGTCTATGGAATTCTCCAGGCAAGAACACTGAAATGGGTTGCCATTTCCTACTCCAGGAGATCTTCCCCACCTAGGGATTGAACCTGTGTCTCCTGCTTTGGCAGGCTGATTCTTTACCGCTGAGCCAGCTGGGAAGTCCAAAGAGCTATGACAATGAACAGCTATCTGATAAAATTCTCTAAAGCAATCCTAACCCTTTCCCTCACTTTTTATTGAAATACAACATACATAAAGAAAAAAGCACAGATGATCGCGCAACTCAGTGGATCCAAAGGCCATCCCCGCCCTCCCACTGGCAACCAGCGGGACAAGAGGTTTGTAGACAGGAGGCGGTGGCTCCAGGCAGAAACAGCAGTCAGCTCCGACAGCTGTCTTCACCTGGTCATGGGTGGTCTGACCAGCATCATCTTGGCTGTTTTGGGTACAGTTAATCTTCAGTTTCAGGGTCCATTTCCCCCCATGTCTCTGAGGTCAGTTCTCAGGATTTCGGCAGTTTAAGTCGTGGGTTCACCTTGGAAAGTCAGCCTGGTCATTATGCAGTTAACTTCTTCTATCTGAGGTTCCATTATCTATCAGACATCTCACAGGATATGGCTCAGAGTAGCAGGAACTAAAGAAGGAACAGGAAGGTCCTTGACTGTGCTTGATGACTGCAGTATTTGTACTCGGTCTCCTGCATTTTCCTTTGTTTCCCTATTTCTCATTTCCCTGATTAAACTTACTCTTCGACTAAAGTTTTCCACAGACAAAAGGCGGAGGACAAGGGGTGTTTGGACAGGTACCACGGGGTCCTGCTCTGTTTCACCAAGACAGAAATTGCTGGGTTTGTGCATGTCCAGTCTCAGCAGATCTTTCCAAAGAGTTTTACAAAGTGATCGCAGTGACCTTTCCACATCCAACTTTAAAGATTTTTTTTAAAAGAAGGGAAAAAAAAAAAAAAGAAAATGGCTAAAATAGATTAACCTCACTGCAACAGAAGGCTAGGAGCTTTGGGACAAAGTCCTCTAAGATGGCTAATTGAAATTTCTATTTAAAATATACAAAAACCAGGTGACAGTGAATCACTCATTAATTACAGAAGCCTTGATGTAGCAGGAGAAGCACTGGGTCACAGCTCAGAAAAGGGGGTGAAGCTGTCACCGACTGTGCCGGTCACACAGTGAGGGCAGACAATACAGAAATGTGGAGTTTGGGGCAGAGAAAGTTTTATTGCAGCATCATGCAAGGAGACAGGTGGCTCGTGCCTTTAAAAAACTGAGCTTTTCTAAGGCTTTCAGCAAAGCCTGTTCATGGGGAAGGGGAGGAGGGGCATGGAGAGTTGTTGCAAACTTCTTGGTGTTGGGTCCTTTGTGCAGCACTCCACAAGGGTCAGAATAGTCAGGTCACAAGTCCCTTTAAACCTCCATCAAAACACGTTATTCTCTGACCTGCAACTTTTTATATAAAGGTATAATACTCTTAAAGGCCATGGACAAGAAAGGGAAGGGGAGGCATTAAATTCTGCCTCCCAGCCTCCTTGTGGCTTTTAACAAATCTATAAGCAAAATGATGTCAGCCCCCATGTTATTTATTCAAGGTCCCAAGGCTTGACTTCTGTACTCTGAGGTCTAGGCCCTGGCTAACAAGGGGATGGGGTTCCTGTGCAGGCTGGTCACCCTGCCTGGGAGCTATCATCCAGCACCCAGCCTGGGACCACTGGCCAGTGCCCAGGACAGGCTGAGGAGGCAGATCTCAGCTGGTGATACCCTTAGGGCCAGGTACCCAGACCATGCCCAGCCGTCATCACTGAAGGAGCTAGATGCCTGACACGCAACCAGCCCTCAGGGTCCACAAGGCCACACAAACAGGGGTCAGTCTCTTGGAGACTCACACTCATAGTCTTGTGATAATGGCCTTGAGCCTGCCTATGACAAAGCTGGGCCAAGCTGAAGCTCCAACACTTCAGCCACCTGATTCGAAGAGCTGACTCATTGGAAAAGACCCTGAAGCTGGGAAAGATTGAAGGCAGGAGAAGGGGACAACAGAGGACGAGATGGTTGGATGGCATCACCAACTCAATGGACATGAGTTTGAGCAAGCTCCGGGAGACGGTGAAGGACAGGGAAGCCTGGCTTCCTGCAGTCCATGGGGTGCTGCAGTCCATGCAGTTGCAAAGAGTCAGACATGACTGAGCAACTGAACAACTGAGTTTCAGCAAGTCACTTGATCAGTTTGAGTTTGGAGTTTTGACCTGTTGTTTATGAACTAGTGTCCATCAACGGGAAGGCAGAATTCCCTGCTCCAGGTGCATGCAGAATGGCTAAGAAGTGACCTCAGGTCTGGAAGCTGCTTCAGTCATGTTTACCTATGTGTGTTTCTTTATATTTTGCTGTTTAACATTATGCGCATGTGACAGGAACCATTTCCTGCATCGATTTGTTTGAGTTTGCTGAGCAAATGGACAGATGACTCCCGCAGTGACCTGCTCCTGAGCTATAGTGTCAAACTGGCTTGTAACCCCGCAGCTGGGGAAGTGGCTCAACACCCTAGGGAGTAGAGACCAACTCAGGACCGTTGGGTGGAAAACGTTTTCCTCTCTCCTTCTTGGTTCCTCTGGCTGGTCTAAGAATTAAAGTGACAGGACACAGCTTAACCAAACACAAGTATTATGAGGTATGGTGAGAGAGGCCAGGAAAACTAAGTCACTCTCTGAAACCTTCACTTCAAGTGTCATCTTCGGCTAAAGACGGAAGAGGGTGTAGGGGTTGGGACTTCAAAGGGGAGGAAGGCAAGTCACGTGGGGATGGAAATCAAGTGCATGGTAAATAAAAGCAGAGACAGAGGGACACAGAGTGGACTCTGATATCTGGGCCCTGCTGGTTCCCCCACCCCACTCAGATCCAGAGACAATCCCTTTATCCCAGTTCTTCAGGCAGCTAAAGTGAAAGGAAAGTGAAGTCGCTCAGCCGTGTCCGACTCTTTGCGACCCCATGGACTGCAGCCTCCCAGGTTCCTCCATCCATGGGATTTTCCAGGCAAGAGTACTGGAGTGGGGTGCCAAGACAAAAAGAGGACCTCCTGATCTTCCATTTCTTAAAAATAATCAGCCTAGGGGCTTCCTGGGTGGTTCCAGTGATTAGGACTCTGAACTCCCACTGCAGCGGGCTAGCTTTCTATTCCTTGAGAACCAAGATCCCTCATGCCATGCTGCTGCTGCTAAGTCGCTTCAGTTGTGTCTGAATCTGTGAGACCCCATAGACGGCAGCCCACCAGGCTCCTCTGTCCCTGGGATTCTCCAGGCAAGAACACTGGAGTGGGTTGCCATTGCCTTCTCCAATGCATGCATGCATGCTAAGTCACTTCAGTCATGTCCGACTCTGTGTGACCCCATGGACAGCAGCCCTCAAGGATCCCCTGTCCACAGGATTCTCCAGGCAAGAATACTGGAGTGGGTTGCCATTGCCTTCTCCCCCGCATGCCATGAGGTGTGGCCAAAAACCAGAAAAAAAATATCAGCCGAAATTAACCCTCAGGCCAAAGAGACACACGGTGGGGGGCAAATCCTGTTCCTCTGCAGCAGGAGCCACCTAATTCCACCCAATACAGAATCTTTAAGTAGCTCATCCACTTACAAAAAGCAATAGTGCCCACTGTCTGTCCAAGGTGTTACTGTTATTGTTCAGTCGCTAAGTCATGTCTGACTCTTTGGGACCCCATGAACTGCAGCATGCCAGGATTTCCTGTCCTTCTCCATCTCTGGGAGTTTGCCCAAATTCATGTTCATTAAGTCAGTGATGCTATCTCATCCTCTGTCATCCCCTTCTTCTCCTGTCTTCAATGTTTCCCAGCATCAGGGTCTTTTCCAATGAGTTGGCTCCCTGCATCAGGTGGGCAAAGTATTGGAGCTTCAACTTCAGCATCAGTCCCTCCAATGAATATTCAGGGTTGATTTCCTTTAGGATTCAAAGACTCATTTGATCTTGCAGTCCAAGGGGCTCTCAAGAGTCTTCTCCAGCACCACAGTTTGAAAGCCCCAATTCTTCGGCACTTGGCCGCCTTTATGGTCCAACTCTCACATGACTAGTGGAAAAACCATAGTGTTGAGTCCTGTCTCCCAGGCCATAGTGGGAGGCTTTGCACCAAGACCACAGAAGCAGAGCCCAGAATCAAGGTCACCTCCGAGCTGACTGAGCCCCTTTGTAACCGTTGCCGAAAGCCCCCCAATAATCACTAACAAGCTTCCTGATTCCCAATTAGGCAAAGATGCGTCAGCCTTCCTGCAGGAAGTTTCTTTGCCTTGAGGCTATAAAAATTGGCCCCTAACCCACAAAAACTGCCTACTCTCCCTGGTCTGTCAGGAGGTCGGCCCGCTGCACTTGCAGTGCCCACTCTATCTCTGTCTTTTGTTCTTAATAAACTCTCCTTTCTGCAATACTCTGTCTGGAAATCCTTTTCCAATCCCAGCTCGGACTGCTTGAACACATAGCTTTGACTATATGGACTTCGTCGGTAAAGTGATATCTCTGCTTTTTAATTCACTGTCTTGGTTTGTCGTAGACATGGGCTAAAAGCAACAGAGAAGAAGGTCTTCCCAAAAGTCTCCTCTGAAGGGACATGAAACCTTGAAACCACCATCCTTTACATCTAATTGGTCACATGAGGGATCCACTGTCTAAAGAGGGCTACTCAAAGGTCGGAAGACCCTCCCAAGGGACGGGCTTAAATGAATATTAACCAAAGGTTAACCAAGATTTTTCATTAAACCTTAGCTGTTATCCATGGGTGGTTATTTCATTACTCTCTGTTTTGTTTGACCAGCAGGCAGTGCCAAGGGCACAGTTGATGAAGCTTGGGTTTTTGGGCCATCCAAGTGGTCCAAGATTTCCTGCTGTCTCCCCACTTCTTCCAATTAGAGGAGACACAGTTATTAGCTCAAGATGTGCACCCACTAACAGCCCGTGTAATCAGCTCTCACCCAGGGATGTAACAAGCACCCTCTGTGTACAGACTTGTAAAGCATGGTGCTGGACCTTGCACCGGGCAGAGACCGAGCAGGAGGCCACTGACAAATGAGTGACGCATGAGGCTGCAGGCTGCAATCGTAACGACACCGCTGATGGAACTCATTCCTTAGACAAGAACGTCCCCTCTTTCATCACCCTTGTCCCCCACATGCTGTGTATGCTGTGCTTAGTCGCTCAGTCCTGTCCGACTCTTTGCGACCCCGCGGACTGTGGCCCACCAGGCTCCTCTGTCCATGGGATTCTCCAGGCGAGAATACTAGAATGGGCTGCCACGCCCTCCCCCAGGGGATCTTCCATTCCCACTTGCTGTGATTAACCTTAACTGCTACCATAGAGAGGAGACAACAGGTCAGAAAGTACTGGGGTCCAGAGAAATCTTCAGAGGTTCTCTCTGTAAAGGAAGGTTATTTTCCAGGGGGACAGAGCACAGGTGATGAATGACATGCACGCTATCAAGCCTTAAGGGGGTCACCCTGCAGTTACGTACCCGCTGGTGTCGGGGTTTTCCTGCTGTGGGAGCACCGCGCTCCCACTAGAGCTGCTACTGGCGTCCTCAGAGGGGGCCCTGAAGAGCCTGGTGCTCCCCCTCGACTTGGGTCTCCCACTCATCGCCCCCGCCGAGTAGCTGGCGGCCTCTTCACTACTTGATGGAAAGCATGAGGCGATACACAACTGTTTGGGATTGGCTTGGGGTTTTGCCTGCCTACTTCCCGGCTGTTTCTCCTTCGAGGGGGAATCCGTGAGTGAACTAGCCCTGGAGGAGGTCCCCGGGCTCTTCTGTTGCATCACCTTCTGTGACACATCACAATGGCCAGATGCGCAGGCAGGGGGCACGCGGCCCCCCCACCAGCCAGCACCCAGCCCGAGCCTGTATCACAAGGCTCCACGGCAGCGGCTCCCAGACACACCATGAAACGCCAGGGTCCCCCAGGCCCCACGCTTCTGCCGCAAGAAGTCTGTTTCACTGTGCTTGCTTCAGTACTTTTTCAAAAAATTAAATATCATGAACAAAATGGAAGATCCCAGAACACTACTCGCCTCCTTTCTTTGCCACAGAAAAATGAAAATTGATATACAAAATTCCCACAACGTTTTTATTTTACCACGTAAATATGTATACATAAATGTTTTCACGCTGCAAATTCAAATGATAAGCCACTCTCAGCTTTCTTAGATTACTGGTCTTGAGAAATACTGACTTCAGCTTACTCATTTTAACTGCCATATAGTATTTTATTACATATACATCATCTGTTGATGACAGACAAACGCACAATCTGAAAGTTAAGTTTTTTTCGGTGGTCTTATTGAGGGCTGGTCTTTCCCAGTGGCTCAGTGGTAAAGAATCAGCCTGCAATGCTGGAGACACAGGAGAAACAGGTTTGATCTCTGGGTCTGGGAGATCCCCTGGAGGAGAGCATGGCAACCTGCTCCAGGATTCTTGCCTGGAGAATCCATGGACAGAGGAGGCTGGCAGACTACAGTCCATAGGGTTGCAAAGAATCATACACGACTGAAGTGGCAGAGCACAAATGCCCTGAGGACTAGACCAAGACAAAATCTCTCAGGTGGCTCTGAGGAACTGTCCCAAAGAGTTAAGGGAGAAGCTAGGATACATAGGGGATTTTGCTGAAAATCACACAGACCAACATGCAGGAGAACATCAAAAGATGACTGCTAATGACACATCTGAATTAATGGGTTAATGCTTCTCCATTAATGGGAAGATGCAAGAGTCTGGGCTCATTGAAATCATGACTTTGATATAGACCTTAACTCTCTAGGGCTGCTGCTGCTAAGTCGCTTCAGTCGTGTCTGACTCTGTGTGACCCCATAGATGTCAGCCCACTAGGCTCCTCTGTCCCTGGGATTCTCCAGGCAAGAACACTGGAGTGGGTTGCCACTGCCTTCTCCAATGCATGACAGTGAAAAGTGAAAGTGAAGTCGCTCAGTTGTGCCCACCTCTTAGCGACCCCATGGACTGCAGCCTACCAGGCTCCTCCGTCCATGGGATTTTCCAGGCAAGAGTACTGGAGTGGGGTGCCATTGCCTTCTCTAGGGCTAGCATCCTGCTTTTCTCCACTGTGAGTCCTGTCGGCAGTGACCGATGGCCTGATGGTCGGGCAGCATTCCTTCTTTACTGGAATGGCAGGCAACACATCACAATTCACTCTCCCAGTCTTTTATGAGTGTAAGGTTCAGGTGCTTTTGGTTTTTTAGCAACACAGTGAAAGTTCAATGCCTGCCTTTGTCTCATGCACACGACAAGGGCTTCCCTGGGTGAACCTCTGGAATGGAACTGTTGGGAATGATGAGCATGCTTATTTGGGGCATAAATTGCAGGCTGACAGTTATTTTCCTCTGAGCCCTTTGGAGATGCTATTCCATAGTCTAGGACTTGGCTGTTGGGGATAAAAATCCTGCCTAATCTTCATCTCTCCTTATTCCTTTTTTGCGTGACAGACTGAGTGGCAACTTGGTTTTTCTTTTCCCTCTGGTCATTTTCAAGGTTTTCTGTTCATCTTTGATGTTCTTTTTTTTTTTTTTTTTTCCCATCTTTGATGTTCTTTAGTTTCACCAGTGTACCTCATCGTGATCGTGGTTTTTAATCTTTTCTCCTTTTCGGAGGAAAAAAAGCATAAGATATTTCATGCTCGTGTATTTCTTCAATTCTGGGATTTTTATTTTGGCCATCAGTTCTTGAAATGCTGCTTCTCTACCACTGTCATTCTTTTCTTACGATGGCCCACCTGTTGACATTTGTAAGACAGCACTAAACTGCCCCTTTAATTTGTTTTTGGTGTTTTTCTTTCTTTTTTTAAAATGCTGATTTCAGGGTAAATTTGTAGGAGCTATTTTTATAATAACGCTAATTTTCTTTTTAACTTGGCAAAGTCTAGACCTATCCCAAGAATTCCTGAGATTTCTGATTTTTTACCTAATGATCCAAAATTCAAAAGATGCAAAATGATACACAGCAAAGTACTTACCCACTTCTGCCTGGTAGCTATCACTTCTCCACTCTCCTTGCATCCATGGTACCATTTTCTTTTATTTTCTTTCAAAGATATGACTTGTTGTTTTTGTTTTTTAGTTATTAAGTTGTGTCTGACTCTTTGGACTGTAGGCTTCCCTGTCCTTCACTATCTCCCAGAGTGTGCTCAGAGTGAAGTTCATTAAGTGGATGATGCCATCCAACCATTTCATCCTCTGTTATCTCCTTCTCCTCTTGCTCTCAATCTTTCCCCACATCAGGGTCTTTTCCAATGAGTCCGCTCTTCACATCAGGTGGCCAAAGTACTGGAGCTTCAGCTTCAGCATCAGTTCTTCCAGTGACTATTCAGGGTTGATTTTCTTTAGGATTGACTGGTTTCATCTCCTTGCAGTACAAGGGACTCTCAAGAGTCTTCTTCAGCTCCATAACTCAAAAGAATCAATTCTTCAGTGCTCAGCCTTCTTTATGGTCCAACTCTCACATCCACACACGACTACTAGAAAAAACCACAGCTTTGACTAAATGGATACATATGTAAAAATACATATATATATATATTTATGTACTTATGTACATAAACTTATGTACATAGGTACATATATACATATAGGTACATAAACTTATGTACAAATATGTGTGCATCTATCTATCTTTATATATCCATCTCTTCACTTTGTTGAAAGTGAAAGGTAACTTGCTAGAAACCATGTTTCACGTCTTTCTTTCTTCAGGTAAAAATATATCTTGGTGACCAAGATGGTAGTGGTGGTGATGAAAAAAAGAAATTTTAAATAATTTGATTATCAAAGCTATCTGATCAAATAGCTTTGATTTTACGGTAGTAACTTTTCTCTCTCAGTAAATGTTTTATGAAAGTTTCAAACAGTTTTTAATCTTTTAAAAATATATTATAAAATCTGCCAAGCATAATAAATTAATTCATACTAGGAAAAACTATATCTTGGGTTTTGTTTTGCTTTGTTTGGCTGTACTAGGTCTTTGCTGTGGCATAGACACAGATCTTTAGCTCCAGCAAGCAGAATCTAGTTCTCTGACCAAGGATCGAACCTGGCCCCCTGCATTGGAAGCATGGAGCCCTGGCCACTGGGCCCCCAAAGAAGTTCCTTGGAAGTTTTTGTGACTCACTTTGAGTTGATCTTTCTCTTTCTTTCATGGTTGCCTAGGGTTTCAGTGTACGAATGTGCACCAATCCGTTTACCCTGATGAGCGTTTTTATATTGAGAACAGTGTGCAATGACCACAGGCTGAGGTTATTCCGAGTGTGTGAGTATATCTGTAAGAATGCACAGCCAGAGGAAGAACTGCTGGGCCCACGTCTCTTTGTGTCTGTCATTTTGATAAATGTTGCCTTTGTCCTCTCCAGAGACTCTACCAGCTAAGTTTCCACTGGAATTTATGATATTTTCCTCCTATTCACCAACATGGTGTATAATTAACCTTTTAATCTTTGCCAATTGAATAGCTTTTTAAAAATGGTACCTCAGGAGAGTTTCTTTTTGCATTCTGATGAGTGAGTTTGAGCTTTTGTCCCCATGTGGTTAAGACCCACATTCTCCTGGGTTCTGCTTTTCTTGTTTACCTGTTTTTGCTTTGTTTCTTTTGCTTGGAAATTTATTTTTAAAATCACTATCATTCTTTCATTTAGGTTTTTATTTTTAAAATTTTTATTTATTTTTGGCTGTGCTGGTCTTGGTTGCTGTGCGTGGGCTTTCTCTCATTGCCAGGAGTCAGGGTGGGGGTGGCCACTCTCCAGCTGCAGCGTGCAGGCCTCTCATTGTAGCGGCTTCTCCTGCTGCAGAGATGGGCTCCAAGGCCCATGGACCCCAGCAGCTGCGGCCCTTGGGCTCAGCAGTCGTGGCACACAAGCTTAGCGGCTTCACTACATGTGGGATGCTCCCAGACCAGGGGTCAAATCCGTGTCCCCTGCGTTGGTAGGGTCTCCCAACCACTGAACCACCAGGGAAACCCTCATTCATGTCTTTTAAGTGCATACTTACTTCATTAAGTATGTATTTATGTATTTATTTTAAAAGCCTTTTCAAGTAACTGAATTAAAAATAAAACCTGTCTGGAGATTACTCATTATCTGATGAGTCACCATCTTTCCATGGCTTGTTTCCATGGTGACTTAGGGTGGTGCATGGCAGACTTATTTTCAGTGAAGAGTTTCCTATTTTCATTCTTGTTGGTCTCTGATCCTCCATGTTTATTGGCATCCCATGACTTCCCAGAGTTGTAAATTATTTTCTCTTTGCATTTCATCTACTGCCATTATAAGTTTGGAAATAGGAGGTACTTGAGACCACAACCCCAAAGCTTGTATTTGGCAGAAGACTCCAACCTATTTGCAATTATTTATTTTTAAAAATATTTATTTATTTATCTATTTGGCTGGTCTTGGTCACAGCATGCAGGACCTTCATCACCTTGTACAGGTCTACAGGTCAGCAGTTGCAGCATGCAGGTTCAGTTGGTTCACTTGTGCTCTTAGGTTCCCCCACCCCAGTGATCAAACCCACTGTGACTGGCAGAAAAAACTGGGAGTTGTCTCCTACAGCAGGGCTGGCAGTGAATGCAGGCAGTACATGGAGATAGGCGTCCAGGACTTCCCTAAGGTCCAGTGATTAAGGCTGCACTTCCACTGCAGGGGCTGTGGGTTCGATCCCTGGTCAGGGAGTTACTCCTGAAAGTCAAGTGGCATGGCCAAACAAATTAAAAAAACATTGGTTTCTGATAGCTTGCAACAACTTAGCTTTATAAATAATAAATCATACATGATAAATAGGCTTACTATTTTTCAAATATGAAGTATTTATTTTGTATTTTTTCAAAACTAATACAATTACTTTATAGGAATTTAATTTAAAATGATTTAAACTGTTCTGTTACTTGTGTATATTTTGTTTTTACTCTGTCACTTTTCCAAAACATTTTACTGTTACATCTTAAGAAAGGTAATCTGTTTAAATTTATGGTAAACTGTGAAGTTTTTCTACTAAAGAGAAAGATTATTATCACTTTAACACATAATGGAGGGGAGATGCTGGTAAGGACACAAAGAAATCCTGTCTCATTCTGTGCCAACCACAGATGATAATCTTGTTTCCACAGATGGTAATCTTGTTTTCCAACTGGCCTGAAAACCCAAACTGCTACATAATACTGAAATACAGAAATGTGTGGAAAAGGAAGCATTTGTCTTGAAATGATCAGATTATCATCAAACAGAAAACACCAAATGTGGAAACCCCCTCCATTTTATGAAACCCGAGTCTAAGGAATATGCTGCATATTATGGAGGACTGAGTCTCCTGGGAGTGATGTTTAGGGAAAGGAATTTATTTACCGGGTTGGAAGATGAAACAAAGATGGGCTTGAGCCTGAAGATGTATCTCAGGAGTTTAGCAATATTAGCTTCAGTCAACAACCTGAGCAAACCAAGAGATAGTAGTCAGAGGGCTTTAAAAAATCAGAATTTATACTCAAATACACGTTTTCCTCTTCCCCCAAAACCCATAAACAGGATATAATCATATACAATATCTATGTAAGATATAAATCTCTAAGAATTTATCCACATATAAAATAGATATATTTTAAACAAACATCTACAAATAATTGAATAATTCATTTTCTTTCCATAAACTGCTAACTAAATCTGTAAATGAAGTGAGATTGTATATGAGGAAAGGCTGGATCCTTCTAAAAACTCCAGGCTGTTGTATGAAAGAAAGGTCATATGTGTTAAAATATAGGAAATAAACACTGAGAAATCTTGATAATAGATTTTTCTTGTGTCATGTTTTCATTTGTATAGCAACTCACTTAGATTCTTATTTGACTTGGCATCTGCAAATACTTGTGATTTCAGTCACATTCCAAAAGTCAGAACTTTATTCTGAGGAATGATCACTCTTCATTATAGCTCAAATGATGATTTCAACTAGTAAAGAGGGTTGTCAGCTTGAGTAAGGTCCCTTCTCTTCTGTTAACCAAGCTCAGAAATAGAGAAAGATATTCTTTAGTCAGGATGGCGTCAATCAGTAGGATACACTATTTTATTTAATTTTTTTTCAAATCAAGAGTTTTTATTGTCTCCTTAAAATATCACAGCTGACTCCACAGAACCATCTGTTATCTTGTTTCTGCAGCAGGATCACTGAGATCTTATTCATCAGCCCAGGACACACTATTTTAAAAAATCACCTTCTCTTGGCCACAGTCCCCTTGGCAAACAATGACTTATGCAACAGGAAACCCTGTTACACTTCGTGAGAGTCTACATGTCTACCTGCAATGGGACAAACATTTGTCATTGAAAAGTGACGTCTTGCTTACTTTCAAAAACTGGGTCAGCTGAGGATCCTGAAAATATTATATGCAAGCTGGATAACCCACAGTGACAGTAAATTCCCATCACAAGAATTCTCTTCTCCCTACCAAATGGTTACATCACCTCTCTTCTCTAGAGGTTCTAATTCTCTAGATTTCTAATGCTTAACTTGTGTAGTAGCAAAAGCAGCGCCTTGTTAAAGTTGCCAAATGACCACCGTTAAGACACCGTGATTTTTCTTTTTTAGCAAAAGACGACCTTAGCTCCAACTGCTGCCTGGGCTGGTGGAATCACAAGAGGACTACAAACCAAGTTTCCAAACCAGAAATACTGAAAAAATAACGTATGAGGAAACACGTGTGCACAGTAATTTTACTACTAATACACAACTGGCAGAAATGGCTGTCTTTTGAGCTTTCCAGGTACTTACTCGTCCTCTTTTTAACAATGTATTAAATACACCGGAGATGGACAAGAAAACCGCTGTTGAGTCTTCCAGGTCGTCAGGAGGGCGGAGGTCTCACCAGAACTCTGAGGCTGGCACGCCCCAGGAGCCGCTCTGCCTCGCCGGCGCCACCACCCTAGACAACGCCCAAGCCCCGGGCAGTTGACTGTAGGCGCCCAAGCCACGCCCCTGACCTGATTTGCCTGCCCTCTCACTGCTCCGATTGGCTGCCTGTGCTCCTTCCGCGGCCGCCGGTTGGCCCAGGCCGTTGCCCTGGCGACGCGGGTTGCTGTAGTTCCGCGCCTCTCTGGGAGTTTGGGATTGGTCGCCGCCGCCAGCGGGAACAGATTGGTCTCCGACGCTGCAGGTGGCACCCACCCAGACCCTAGGTCGGCAGGTGAGCAGGGTCAGACGGCCTGTGGGGCCGGGATCGGGAGGGACCCCTGTCTCCTGAAATGGGGGAGCACCGGACCGGGGCGGGACTTCGGAACCTGCTGTCTCCTGCTGGCTACTCTGCGTGCGTGCCCCTGATGCATATACCTTGCCGGGACGCGTCCCTGCTGCTGCCTTGCCTGGGCGTGCACGCACTACCCGAATGGTGAGACTCCTGCATACCTGTCAGGTGGAGGAGGACGGACGGAGTAGGGGTGCGGGCCCAGCCTCTGCAGCTCAGCCCCGCCGACGGTTCCTGGCTCGCCCGTGAACCCCCGGCCCAGCGCGTCTCAGGGCATGAGAAATACCAGCAAGGAGCTGCATGGGGCCGCGAGCCGCTACGCGCCCTGCGGTGAGTGACCAGAGGAGAGGAGATCTGCCTTTGCTCTGCTACTGGACAGGCTCACCTGTGTCCTGCATGCGTGTGAGGAGAAGGCGGTGGGGAGGGGACAGGACTAACACGGGGGTACCGTCAAAGAAAGCTACACACTGCCCCTGTGCCCAGGGTGGAAGTAAGGCTTAAAGGTAAGGTGGGGATCTAGGGGTAGAGGAGAACTTGGCTTCTGGGATTTTTTCATTTGTTTCCCTATTTTCAACAAAAGAAAGCCAGGCTACCCACTGCTGTTAGAGCTACTCAATTCTTGGAGCAATAGCATCTCTGAAAATTTCTCTGTAACAGGAACCCTGTGTTGACCTGGACACTTTCATTTTCAGCTGCATCCTTGTGTATTTCATTGATCACCTATCTCTTGCTCCTAATTTAGACTCCAACCAGGGTAACTGTGTCTCCTGCTTTAGGCAGCTGAACACAGGAAGTAAGCTTCCGGCGGAGGTTGGCACTGCAGTGGGCTTCTCATTGTGAAGTTGGAAGAAGGGAAAGAAGAAGACCTAGCTGCTGTGGTCTGATTTTGACTTTGGTTTTATTCTTCCCCATCTCGTGAAGGACTGGAGTAAGAGGATGGAGAAGAAGAGGGTCCCGAAGCTCTGTTGGAAGGGGCGGGGTAGGGGTTGGCAAGTGGACTGCCAGCAGTGGGACCGAATGTGGCCTTCACAGTCTCCCCGTGCTTCTGGCCCAGAGCTCTGCTGTGACCGCTGTTGATGAGGCTGTGGCTGTGCTGGAATGGGGGGCAGGGGGCACAGGAGGCCTGGGTCCCAGTCTCCACTGTGGGCTCTCAGCCTGGATTTCTGGTGTCTCAGAGCCCTGCTGCGTAGCCTCCCCTGTGTGCTAAATGCTGTCACGCTAACACTGAACTTCAGGACAACCTGCTGAGGGCTTGTTAGCCTGGTTTGCAGATGAGAAAGCTGAGGCTTAGAGTTTCAGAAAGCTGCCTTGTTCTCCAAGGCTGAGGCTGGTTGCCCGGATCCTGCCTTTGGGTTGCCTCTCATGGCTCAAAGACCAGAGAACTGCAGGATTTGAGTCAACCAACAGTCAGCTCTGAGCCGGGCTCATAGATAAAGCAAGCCAGGAGGAGACAGGGGAGCCAGTAAAGAAATCTACACGGTCGTGAGTGATCTGGTGCCAGACAAGTACTAGTCATGGTTGAGGACAAGATAATTCTCACTCCTTCAACTGTGTATATGTGTGTGTGTGAGAGAGAGAGAGACAGTTGGTTCACAGTGACTCATGTGCTGACTCTGAGCAGGGCACGCCATCATAAACGGCCAACCACAGTAGAGCTCAGTCCCTGCCCGAAGCTTCCAGTAATGAGACGTAGAAACTACTCTGTTCTCTGTGGATTAATTAGTAATCAAAACACAGAGAGGAAAAATAAAGCAAGAACCGAATGCCTTCTCTCTGAAAGAAAATATTTGAGCTGAATATGATCAGATATGATGCTCCTAAGCCCTTCCTCCTGGTTCTAAAACTAACTCTGTGAGCTCAGGCAAACTTCTTTAAAGCTTTCCCGTTGGTTTTTTTCCCCTCCTTTTTCTCTTTTCTCCTTTTCCCTCTATTGTGTTTTCACTACAGTGTTCATCTCATTACTGTTGTTTAGATATTTTAAAGATTTTTCCATGAACATTCATTTTTTACACAGTGAACTCAGTTGTAGTTCTAAGTAGAAATTGCATGGCTAACTTTTAGCTGTGGAGGAAGGTGACTTGTTCCTGGGATCTGTGTGTGCTTGTGTAAAGCCATCTATTCAGCGCTGTATTCCTGTGATCCTGCTGTACCACTCGGAATTCTCCAGAGCCCAACAACATTTGTGCCTCTGTGTGTGTGTGTGTGTGTGTGTGTTTAGAAAGAGAAAGAGAGATTGACTGAGACATCGATTTATTTTAAGGAACTGGCTCACACAGTTGTGGAGCAGGTCAAGAAGGAGTTGATGCTACAGTCCTGGGTTGGAAGGCCATCTGGGGGCAGAATTCCTTCTCAGGAGACCTCAGTCTGGGAACTGTGGCCTAGCCAAGTGGACTCTGGAAATCACCCATTGCACCTGCCGGGAGCTGGTCCTGTGTTAGACCCTGACTGCCATGCGTTTTGGACAGCTGGTTCCAGTAAGCTCTTAAATTCTAGACACTTGTGCCATGGTAGTGGCATCTTTTTTATTTCACATCCCTCCTAGATTTTGTTCCCCTAATTCTCAGTCAGCTGTGATGTCTGTTCTTACATTTGGACATGTGGGTTCATCAGTTTCAGATGCAGAGTGTCACCAGAACACCAACAGCCCGGAGTGTCTTCTCTGTGGGATTATGAGTGGGCCTGATAACTGCAGGTCCCCGGGCTTCTGCCGACACCTCTTGCTCCTGGCAGGGACCCTCACAGGTGGTCACCCAAGCCACCTGCAGGGTTCTGTCCTGGGTGCCCACTGAGGGGCCTCGGCTCTGCCAAGGCCCGTTCCGCTCACCACCCGTGACCACTCTCTGGGGGAGGTAGGGGCCAGCAGATCAGTGGAGAGGGAGGTGAGAGTAAGCTGGCCTTCACTTATCCCCCTTTGCCCCCCCACCCTCCTGTTTATCAGCTCTCATCTGCTAGAAATCTCATACACATCTCTCAAATGTGTTTGTTTATTTTGGCTGCATGCGTCTTGGCTGCTTGCACGGACCTTCCCCGGTTGTGGTGAGCTGGGGCTGCTCCTTGCTGTGGCGTGCAGGCGTCTCACTGCAGTGGCTTCCCTTGCAGGCAGAGCACAGGCTCTGGGGCACACAGGCTTCAGGAGTCGCAGCTCATGGCCTCAGGAGTGTGGCACACGCTCTTAGTTGCTCCAAGATTGCATGAGGGATCTTTCCAGACCAGGCGTCAAACTCACGTCCCCTGCATTGGCAGATGGATTTTTAACCACTGGACACACCCTTTATCTGTACTCACCACACTTCAGTTCTGTGGGACCCAACTGGATGTTTCCACGGGAGCCACATTCAGCCCCCAACCAATCTGCAGCCTGAGAGTGTTCCCACAGCGCAAGGTTGCCCAGGGCAAAGCCCCTGCCTCTCTGTTCAGCAGCCCATCAGGGTGCTTCTCCCCTTTCCCATCTGACCTCTCAGGATGTCCTGCTTCCCACCTCGAGCCACAGGAAAGCTGAGGGGCATGTGCGGAGCGAGTGCGGCCAGCATCTGGCAGGAGGGCCTGCCAGGATGCCCCCCGGGGGTGGGTGTCAGGTCAGGTTGTTCACCATCCAGCCTTCTTGAGGTGGCACTCGGTCCTGCTACTGTCAAATTAACAAACCTGTTCACCAAAGCTGTTACTTCTGTCTCAGTATGTTTGTTTTAATTGAAGTATATAGGTGATTTGCAATGTGGTTTGTGTTAGTTTCAGATGTACAGCAAAGTTATTCAGTTACACATATATATACACATTCTTTTTCAAATTCTTTCCATTATAGGTTATTACAAGATACTGGGTATAATTCCATGTGCTAGACAGTGGGTCCTTACTGATTTTCTATTTTATATATAGCAGTGTGTACATGTGAATCACAACCTTCTAATTTATGCCTCCCCTCATCTTTCCCCTTTGGTCGTCATTAAGTCCGTGTTCTATGTCTGTGAGTCTGTTTCTGTTTTGTAATTAAGTTTATTTGTATCATTTTTTAAGATTCCCTTTATGAGTGATACATGGTATTTGTCTTTCTACATCTGGTTACTTCACCTGGTATGATAACCTCTAGGTCTATCCATGTTGCTGCAATGGCATTAGTTCATTCTTTTTTACAGCTACATAGTATTCCATTATATGTACCACATCTTTATAAATTCATCTGTTGATGGACATTTAGGTTGTCTTCATATTCTGACTATTGTGAATAGTGCTGCTGTGAACACTGGGGTGCATGTAACTTTTTGAATTAGAGTTTTCTTCTTTTCGAGATGTATTGCCAAGAGTGGATTGTAGGATTGTATGGTAGTTCTGTTTTAGTTTCATAAGAAAGCACCATAGTGTTCTCCATAATGGCTGCACCAGTTTACATTCCCACCAGGAGTGTAGGAGGGTTCCCTTTCCTCCCCACCCACAGCATTTTTTGTTTGTAGACTTTTCGATGATGACCAGTCTACAGAACTACAGTGACCTCATTGTAGTTTTGATGTGCATCTGTCTGCTGCACTCAGTATGTCAGCAAATTTGGAAAACTCAGCAGTGGCCACAAAACTGGAAAAGGTCAATTTTCATTCTATTCCCAAAGAGAGGCAATGCCAAAGAATGTTCAAACTGCGGTACAGTTGTGCTCATTTTACCTGCTAGAAAGGTTATGCTGAAAATCCTTCAAGCTAGGCTTCAGCAATACATGAACTGAGAATTTCCAGATGTACAAGCTGGATTTAAAAAAGGCAAAAGATCCAGAGATCAAATGATTTGTTGGATCATAGAAAAAGCAAGAGAATTAAAAAAAAAAAATCTACTTCTGCTTCATTGACTACGCTAACGCCTTTGACTGTGGATCACAACAAACTGGAAAATTCTAAAAGAGGTGGGAATACCAGACCACCTGACCTGCCTCCTGAGAAACCTATATATAAGTCCAGAAGCAACAGTTAGAACTGGACATGGAATAGCAGACTGGTTCAAAGCTGAGAAAGGAGTATGTCAGGTTGTATATTGTCACTCTGCTTATTTCATTTATATGCAGAGTACATGATGCAAATTGCCAGGCTGGATGAAGCTCAAACTGGAACCAAGATTGCCGGGAGAAATATCAGTAACCTCAGATAACACCACTGTCATGGCAGAAAGTGAAGAGGAACTAAAGAGCCTCTTGATGAAGGTGAAAAAGCTGGCTTAAAACTCAACATTCAAAAAACTAAAATCATGGGATACAGTCCCATCACTTTATGGCAAATAGAAGGAGAAAAAGTGGAAGTAGTAACAGGTTTTATTTTCTTGGTCTCCAAAATCACTGCAGACGGTGACTGCAGCCATGAAATTCAAAGATGCTTTGTCCTTGGAAAGAAAGCTATGACTGACCTAGAAAGCATATTCAAAAGCAGAGACATTACTTTGCTGACAAAGGCCAAAATAGTCAAAGCCATGGTGTTTCCAGGAGTCATGTACAGATGTGAGAGTTGGACCATAAAGAAGGCTGAGCACCAAAGAATTGATGTTTTCAAACTGTGGTGCTGGAGGAGACTCTTGAGAGTCCCTTGGACTGCAAGGAGGTCAAACCAGTCAGTCCTAAAGGAAATCAACCCTGAATATTCATTGGAAAGACTAATGCTGAAGCTGAAGCTTCAATACTTTGGCTACTTGATTCAAAGAGCTGACTCATTGGAAAAGACGCTGACGCTGGGAAAGACTGAAGGCAGGAGGAGAAGCGGGTGACAGAGGATGAGGTGGTTGGATGGCATCACCAACTCAATGAACATGAACTTAAGCAAACTCTGGGAGACAGTGAAGGACAGGGGAGTGTGGCATACTGCAGTCCATGGGGTCGCAAAGAATCAGACATGGCTTAGCGACTGAACAATAACAACAGTAATAATTAGTGATGTTGTGCCTGTCTGCCATCTGTATGTCTCCTTTGGAGAAATGTTTATCTAGCTTTTCTGACCATTTTTTGATTGGGTTGTTTGGGTTTTTTGTTGTTGTTATTGCGTTATATGAGCTGTTCGTGTATTTTGGACATAAACCTTTGTCCATCACATAGTTTGCAAATGTTTTCTCCCAGTCCATAGTTTGTTTTTTTCATTTTGCTTACGTTTCCTTTGCTGTGCAAAATCTTGTGAGTTTGATTAGTCCCCTTTGTTTCTTACTGGTTTTATTTCCATTGCCTTTGGAAACTGGCCTAAGAAAACATTGCTATGATTTATGTCAGAGAATGTTTTGCCTGTGCTGTCTTCTAGGAGCTTTATGGTGTCATGTCATATTTTTCTCTCAGCCATTCTGAGTTTATTTTTGTGTATGGTAAGAAAGTCTGTTCTAGCATCATTGATGTAAATGTGACTGTCCAGCTTTTCCAATACCACTTGCTGAAGAGACTGTCTTTTCCCCATTGTATAGTCTTGCCTCCTTCGTCAAAGGTTAGTTGACCACAGGTGTGTGGGTTTATTTCCGGGCTCTTTATTTTAGCCCATTGATTGGTCTGTCTGTTTTTGTGCCAGTACCACCCTGTTTTGATTACTGTAGGTTTGTAGTATTGTCTGAAGTCTGGGAGAATTATGTCTCCAGCTTTTTCTTTTTCCTCAAGATTGGTTGAAAATTCTGGATCTTTTAATATTCCATATAAATTTTAGGATTATTTGTTCTAGTTCTGTGAAAAATGTCATGGGTAATTTGATAGGGATCATGTTACAGCTGTAAATTCTTTGGGTAGGATGGTCTTTTTAACAGTATTAATTCTTCCAACCTAGGAGCATGGGATATCTTTCCATTTCTTTAAATCATCTTCAATTTTCCTTACAGTTAGCAGCATATGTGTCTTTTGCCTCCTTGATGGATTTATTCCTAAGCATTTTATTTTATTTATTTATTTTTGATGCTATTTTAAAAGGGATTTTTTTTTTAACTTTACCTTTGTGATATTTCATTATTAGTACAAAGAAATGCAGCAGATTTCTGTATGTTAATCTTGTATCCTGCTATGTGGTTAAATTCATTTATCATTTTTAGTAGTTTTTGGGTGGAGTCTTTAGGGTTTTCTGTATATAGTATCCGGAGAAGGCAATGGCACCCCAGTCCAGTACTCTTGCCTGAAAACGCCCATGGACGGAGGAGCCTGGTAGGCTGCAGTCTGTGGGGTCGCTAAGAGTTGGACACGACTGAGCGACTTCACTTTCACTTTTCACTTTCATGCATTGGAGAAGGCAATGGCAACCTACTCCAGTACTCTTGCCTGGAGAATTCCAGGGACAGGGGAGCCTGGTGGGCTGACGTCTATGGGGTCGCACAGAGTCGGACACAACTGAAGCGACTTAGCAGCAGCAGCAGCATATATATTATCATGTCACCTGTGTATAATAACAATTTTACCTCTTTCTGACCAATTTGAATACTTTTTATTTATTTTTATTTTTTGACTGCTTTGCCTAGGATTCCAGTACTATGTTGAATAGAGGTAGTAAGAATGGGCATCACTGTCTTGTTCCAGAGTTTAGTGGGGAGGCTTTCAGCTTTTTACCATTGAGTATTATGCTGGCTGTGGGTTTGTCATAGTAGCTTTTTATTATGTTGAAATAGGTCACTCTATGCCCACTTTGGTGAGAGTTTTTATCATGAAATCTCAGTGTTTTGAAAGTCTAAGTTGATCAAATCTTGCCAACTTTTGGCCACATAGTCCAGAGACTTGCCCATGTTTTAAGTGATTTTGGATCCTTTAGGAATGTGTGGGTGCATGATGCATGCTCAGTCATGTCTGACTCTTTGCGACTCCATAGACTGTATAGCCCACCAGGCTCCTCTGGTCCATGGGATTTACAGGCGAGAATACTGGAGTGAATTGCCATTTCTTGCTCCATCAGGAATGTATACTCCCCGACATGTCCAGAAATGCAGTCAAGTCCCAATTCAGGGAAGACTGAAGGAGAAGAGAGATACACGTGTAGGGAATTTAGAAACCTCACTGGGAGGCTAAGACCCCCAGGAAAGGGCTCTGGTCTCACTGCTTTGGGACAGCGGGGCAGCTGGGCGCAGAGGCCGGCCAGCCTCCTCGAGGGTGTTCTCCTGCTGGGCACTGTGGCTGCTGCTGGCGGCCTTTAGGATCTGCTGACTACATGACCGGCAGGGAGATGCGTCAGGTAGCAGGTGTTCAGAAGAGGGCAGTTTCTGCTTTGCTGGTGTCCTGGGGAGGGTGAGACGCCCTCCTTGATGTCTCCTGGGCAGGGGACCAAGCCAGCCTGGGCTCCATGAGTAACATCTTGACCCTGGGCCGCCTCTTCCCTAGACTGGTATTACGACCTTCCTGTGAAGCAGTCAGAGAAGGCCATGGATGCCCCACCAGCATCGCAGATTCCTGGCCTCAGCGACCTGAGGGAAGCCCCCAGCGGGCACACGCTCGGGATGCGGAGGTACTGGGTGAAGGAGACAGACTCGGAGTACGTGAAGCTGGCCAAGCAAGGTGGCCGCCCTGGTGAGCAGTGCTTTTGTGTGTGTGTGTGGGGGGGTGTAACCTTGTCATCTGGACATCCAGATGCCATCTGGGATCTGGACACATTCCTACACTGTCAAGTGTAGGAATTTTGCCCAAAGTCATAGGACGTTCAGGTTGCCTGATACAGCCCAGGGTGCAGACTCTTCAGGGACATGCTGCCGTTTATGGGAAAGATCGACCAGACTGTGCATTCACCAGATTGGGATTTTCTTTGGATTTCTCCTGAGCAACACCCTGGGGTGACTCCCATGCCAGCCTCGCTGTCTAACTGCAGTCGCTGTCTCTGCACTGTAGTCACCCTTCTGGGGGGTAAGAAGGGGTCAGCCCTTCTCCACTTGCCCGTGAAGCATCTTTGTTTCCTGTTGCTCAGTCTCCTCATCCCTCAGGTGTATATTAGTATCTTCTGCATGACAGATGCTGGGATGAGCGTCAGTGGTGACGCTGACAAACATCTGACCTTTATCCGTGATTTCACTGTGAAAGTCTCGTTCAGTTGTGCTAACTCAAGTTGCTGTTCAGCTTAGGAGTCACGTCTAGAACACCTTCTGCCGGGCCTTTGTGGAGAGCGACCCTGAGAAACGCTGACCTTTCTCTCTCTGGCCGCCGTTCCTTAGGCTGGGCTACATGGCAGATGGTGGCATCTGGGCTGTGATGCTGCAAAGCCCAGAACAGGCTGTGTGACTCATTGCGTGTAAAGCACAGAAGGGGGTCCCCTCCTCACTCTGAGCCATGGGCTAAAAGAACATCAGTGGGACAGCTGGCAAAACCGGAATAAGATCTGTAATTGGATAAAAGGATCGCATCACACTGACTTCCTGATATTTATCACTGCAGTGTGATTATGTCATAACTGTCAATGGAAAAACCCCACGTGGTTCCCCCAAAGAGCAACAGACAGTGACAATACTAACGGGAGAGAGGGAGGAAGGAGGAGCAAATGGGAAAGGGAGCATGGTGTTTGGGGAATCTGGGTGAAGAGTATAGGGGAGTTCATACCATTTGAGGGAACTTTTGTCTACATTTGAAATATTAAAAAAATGAAAAGTTCGAAAAGTAGAAAAGTTTAAAATGTCTACTAATAGTATTGTCCACTGCCCCCTGAGCAGGCAAAACCAGTCACTCCCAGCTCTGGCCCGTCGACCCCCACCCCACCCCCCAGCCCCCGCGGTGTAAAGCCTCCAGCCTGGGGGAGAGGGATGAAGACGTGCTGGAGTGAGTCTCTGTGCCTGGAGGAGACACCAGTTAATAGGACCCCAACTCTCATGATTTAGAGGGGCCGGTGTCCGCTTCCCACCAGAAACCTGGAGGCTTACCCCAGAAATGCCCCGGGTGTGAAGGAGTAGGGACAGAGAACAGACCCTCCTGGGCTGAGAGAGGAGATAGCAAGCCACCCCCCGGCCCCCGGCCCCCGGCCCCCAGCCCGATGAGTTTTGTCTCCACAGTCGTCGTTCTGGAGCAACGACACCCCCTCACCACCTCCAGGATGCTTGGATGGGAGGGGGAGGTGGGGGGCAGAGGGAGGGGGTGTTCTCGGCACCAGGCAGCACGGGCACTGGCAGGTGAGAACCAGGGACACCCCGACGTCCCCCCCAACCCCCTCCTCCGAGCCCAGTCAAAGAGCCGCGGAGGAAGCCCAGTTCCCGTTTCAGCAGCGACCTGCTGGCTGGTGATGCCCAGACTCCGATGGGGACGGTGATGCTCACCGCTGCGTCTTTTTGCCTTCGAGATCTGTTGAAGCACTTTGCCCCCGGGACCACGAAGGGCTCCCCGGTGGCCTACTCCTTGCCAGACTGGTACATCCACCACAGCAAGCCGCCGACGGCAGACCAGAGACAGTGAGTATCCTGACCCCCGCGTTGCAGCCACCGCCCAGCCCGGCACCCCAGCCTCTGACTTCGCTCCCGGCCGCCCCACCTGCAGCCTCCTGCAGCCCTTTTCTCTCCCACCCTTCCCGGCATCCTGGCGCTCTGCCGACTGCCCAGCTTCTCCTGGGCCCCGCGTGCGGGAGGCTTCCCCACTCCCCTGCAGTCTTTTCCCTCCCTTCTTCCCTCCCTTCCCGCCCCTGCTCAACTCAGCCCCTCCCCTTCCTCCTTTCCTGCAGCTAAGAGTTGGGGCTTTATCCTGGCTGAATGAGGAGCCGAGAAAATGAGGGGTGGGTGGGGGTGGGCGGGGCCTGGAGAAGGTCGGTACCAGGTGGGGCGGGGGAGGGGGGAGTCCGGAAGTGGCCCTAAGCGGCTGGCGGGCCCTCCCCTCTTTTTCTGCAGGGTCCCTGCCGTGTCCATGCCCGATTACATGGTTTATGAAGAGTTTAACCCCGATCGGGCCACTGGCAACTTCGAGTCCAGAATGGGCCCCTTCGACTTTGACATGAAGACGGTTTGGCAAAGAGAGGCTGAGGAACTTGAAAAGGAGAAAAAAAAGGTGACAGGAGCACCAGATAGATAGCATGGCGTTGTCTGTCAGCTGCGCGTGTCTCCTGGCCCCGGAATCTGCCTTTTAAGTTTGATTTTTTTCAAAGGCCAGTTGTTCAGTCGCTCAGTCATGTCCCACTCTTTGCGACCCCATGGACTGCAGCACGCCAATATTCCCTGTCCTTCACCATCTCCCAGAGCGCTCAAACTCAGGTCCATTGAGTCGGTGATGCCATCCAACCATCTCATCCTCTGTCGCCCCCTTCTCCTCCTGCCTTTAAGCTTTCCCAGCATCAGTCTTTTCCAATGAGTTGGCTCTTCGCATCAGATGGCCAAAGTATTGGAAAATACAAAAGCCAGAGACCAAAATAAATTAGCTTCCTTTTCTTATGAATATCAACCCTGTGAGGTGAGACTGCCTTTTGTTTAAGGAGCTGACATGGGGAAAGTTGGCCACCACTTCTCATCTGCCCAGAAGGACATTATCCAGTTTCTGAGCGAGCCCATTCTGTTTGAGGGTTTAAGTTAAAACTCCCCAGAACACTCTGTGTGGACAGGAAGGGAAGAGGAGACAGTGCTTCGCTGTTTCAAGGGAGCCATGGAGGCCATCTCTAGTCGGTGGCTTTATGGTGGTGTCTCAGTTCAGAGGCCACTGGTCATGGTTGGCGTGGCTCCTGCGATGTGGGGATCTGTGAGTGAGCTGGTGATGTTCGTGTTAAAACTAGCAGCCGTGTCCTGGCGGTGAGCAAGCCTTGCCACCCTCACACTCACACACACACACACATACCCACCAACCCTGCCTCGCCAGGGAGTAGCCTTGAGGTCCACGTCCCAGTGTCTAGTTGAAGGAGAAACCTTGGAAGTTTATTTCAGGGCTCAGAAAATTGAGCCCCATGTGCAGGGTCAGCTGCCTGTATTTAGCTGGCTGTTTGCCCTCAGGACACCCAGTCCCAGTCCTGAACCTGGGTCTTGGTGTTTGCACGATCACTGAATGGGCTGCTCTCAGGAACACACATGTTCCTGGCAACACCTCCCAGCAATACCCAGAGCCTTCAGATGGTAAACAGAGTCGGTGCACATGCCCTGTTAAAGGCTGAAACGCTGCATTGCCCCCAAACCATGGACAGAGTCATGCAGGGCTGAGAAAGTGTAGGGAGCAAGCCCGTTCTATCCTGTGTCTCTCTGCACAGGTGAGGCTCAGTTCAGTTCAGTCGCTCAGTCAGATCCGACTCTTTGCGACCCATGGACTGCAGCACCCCAGGCTTCCCTGTCCATCACCAACTCCTGGAGCTTACTCAAACTCATGTCCATCAATGATGTCATCCAGCCATCTCATCTTCTGTCGTCCCCTTCTCCTCCTGCCTTCAATCTTTCCCAGCATCCTGGTCTTTTCCAATGAGTCATCTTCGCATCAGGTGGCCAAAAGTATCGGAGTTTCAGCTTCAGCATCACTCCTTCCAATGAATATTCAGGACTGATTTCGTTTAGGACTGACGGGTTTGATCTCCTTGCAGTCCAAGGGACTCTCAAGAGTCTTCTCCAACACCACAGTTCAAAAGCATCAATTCTTCAGCACTCAGCTTTCTTTTTTTTTAAGCCATACGTTTATTTTTTATTTATTTTTTTTCCCTTTATTTTTATTAGTTGGAGGCTAATTACTTTACAACATTGCAGTGGTTTTTGTCATACACTGAAATGAATTAGCCATGGATTTACATGTATTCCCCATCCCGGTCCCCCCTCCCACCTCCCTCTCCACCCGATCCCTCTGGGTCTTCCCAGTGCACCAGGCCCAAGCACTTCTCTCATGCATCCAACCTGGGCTGGTGATCTGTTTCACCCTAGATAATATACATGTTTCGATGCTGTTCTCTTGAAACATCCCACCCTCGCCTTCTCCCACAGAGTCCAAGAGTCTATTCTATACATCTGAGTCTCTTTTTCTGTTTTGCACATACGGTTATCGTTACCATCTTTCTAAATTCCATATATATGTGTTAGTATACTGTAATGGTCTTTATCTTTCTGGCTTACTTCGCTCTGTATAATGGGCTCCAGTGTCATCCATCTCATTAGAACTGATTCAAATGAATTCTTTTTAATGGCTGAGTAATATTCCATGGTGTATATGTACCACAGCTTCCTCATCCATTCGTCTGCTGATGGGCATCTAGGTTGCTTCCATGTCCTGGCTATTATAAACAGTGCTGCGATGAACATTGGGGTGCACGTGTTTCTTTCAGATCTGGTTTCCTCGGTGTGTATGCCCAGAAGTGGGATTGCTAGGTCATATGGCAGTTCTATTTCCAGCTTTTTAAGAAATCTCCACACTGTTTTCCATAGTGGCTGTACTAATTTGCATTCCCACCAACAGTGTAAGACGGTTCCCTTTTCTCCACACCCTCTCCAGCATTTATTGCTTGTAGACTTTTGGATAGCAGCCATCCTGACTGGTGTGTAATGGTACCTCATTGTGGTTTTGATTTGCATTTCTCTGATAATGAGCACTCAGCTTTCTTTATAGTCCAACTCACATCCATACATGGCTACTTGAAAAACAGTGGCTTTGACTGGACGGACCTTTGTTGGCAAAGTAATGTCTCTGCTTTTTAATATACTCTGTAGGTTGTTCATAACTTTCCTTCCAAGAAGCAAGCGTCATGGCTGCAATCACCATCTGCAGTGATTTTGGAGCCCAAGAAAATAAAGTCTGACACTGTTTCCACTGTTTCCCCATTTATTTGCCTTGGAGTGATGGTACTGGATCCCATGATCTTAGTTTTCTGAATGTTGAGTTTTAAGTCAGCTTTTTCACTCCTCTTTTACTTTCATCAAGAGGCTCTTTTGTTCCTCTTCATTTTTTGCCATAAGGGTGGTGTCATCTGTGTATCTGAGGTTATTGATATTTCTCCCTTCAAAATTGATTCCAACTTGTGCTTCATCCAGCCCAGCATTTCACATGATGTATTTTGCATATAAGGTAAATAAGCAGGGTGACAATATACAGCCTTGATGTACTCCTTTCCCAATTTGGAACTGGGCTATTGTTCTATGTCCGGTTCTAACTTGATTCTTGACCTGCATACAGGTTTCTCAAGAGGCAGGTCAAGTGGTCTGGTATTCCCATCTCTTTCAGAATTTTCCAGTTTATTGTGATCTACACAGTCAAAGGCTTTGGTGTAATTAATAAATCAGAAGTAGATATTTTTCTGGAACTCTTGCTTTTTCTATGATCCAACAGATGTTGGCAATTTGATCTCTGGTTCCTCAGCCTTTTCTAAATCCAGCTTGAACATCTGAAAGTTCACAGTTCACATATTGTTGAAGCCTGGCTTGGAGAATTTTGAACATTACTTTGCTGGCATGTGAGATGAGTGCAGTTGTGTGGTAGTATAAACATTCTTTGGCATTGTCTTTCTTTGGGATTGGAATGAAAACTGGCCTTTTCCAGTCCTGTGGCCACTGCTGAGTTGTCCAAATTTGCTGGCATAATGAGTGCAGCACTTTAACAGCATCATCTTTTAGGATTTGAAATAGCTCAGCTGGAATTCTATCACCTTCACTAGCTTTGCTCATAGTGAAGCTTCCTAAGGCCCACTTGACTTCACATTCCAGGATGTGTGGCTCTAGATGAGTGATCATACCATCGTGATTATCTGGGTTGTGAAGATCTTTTTTTTATATTTCTTCTGTGTATTCTTGCCACCTCTTTTTAATATCTTCTGCTTCTGTTAGGTCCATACCATTTCTGTCCTTTATTGTGCCCATCTTTGCATGAAATATTCCCTTAGTATATCTAATTTTCTGGAAAAGATCTCTAGTTTTTCCCATTCTATTGTTTTCTTCTTCTTCTTTTTTTTTTTTTTTTTGGTATGAATCACTGAGGAAGGCTTTCTTATCTCTCCTTGCTATTCTTTGGAACTCTGCATTCAAATGGGTATATGTTTCCTTTTCTCCTTTGCCTTTAGCTTCTCTTCTTTTCTCAGCTATTTGTAAGGCCTCCTCAGACAGCCATTTTGCCTTTTTGCATTTCTTTTTCTTGGGGATGGTCTTGATTCCTGCCTCCTGTACAATGTCACAAACCTCTGTCCATAGTTCTTCAGGCACTCTGCCTATCAAATCTAATCCCTTGAGTCTATTTGTCACTTCCACTGTATAATCATAAAAGATTTGATTTAGGCCATACCTGAGTGGTCTAGTGGTTTTTCCTACTTTCTTCAATTTAAGTCTGAATTTGGCAATAAGTAGTTCATGATCTGAGCCACAGTCAGCTCCCAGTCTTTGTTTTTGTACACTGTATAGAGCTTCTCCATCTTTGGCTGCAAAGAATATAATCAATCTGATTTCCATATTGACCATCTGGTGAATGTCCATGTGTAGAGTCTTCTCTTGTGTTGTTGGAAGAGAGTGTTTGCTACGACCAGTACGTTCTCTAGGCAAAACTCTGTTAGCCTTGCCCTACTTCATTCTGTACTCCAAGGCCAAATTTGCCTATTAGTCCAGATATCTCTTGACTTCTTACTTTTGCATTCCAGTCCCCTTATGATGAAAAGGACATTTTTGGGGGGTGTTAGTTCTATAATGTCTTATAAGGGCTTCTTAGAACCGTTCAGCTTCTTCAGCATTACTGGTTGGGGCATAGACTTGGATTACTGTGATATTGGTTTACCTTAGAAACAGAGACCATTCTGTCATTTTTGAGAATGCGCTCAAGTACTGCAGTTTGGACTCAGTTTTCTGACTACGATGGCTATGCCACTTCTTCTAAGGGATTCCTGCCCACAGTAGTAGATATAGTGGTCATCTGAGTTAAATTCGCCCATTGCAGTCCATTTTAATTCACTGATTCCTAAAATGTCAATGTTCACTGTCGCCATCTCTTGTTTAACCACCTTCTAATTCACCAGTCACATCCTCAGCTGGGCGTTGTTTTTGCTTTGGCTCCATCTCTTCATTCTTTCAGGAGTTATTTCTCCACTTTTCCCCCGTAGCATATTGGGCACCTATCCACCTGGGGCGTTCATCTTTCAGTGTCCTATCTTTTTGCCTTTTCATACTGTTCATGGGGTTCTCAAGTCAAGAACACTGAAGTGGTTTGCCATTCCCTTTTCTGCAGGTGAGGCTGCCAGCCATCAAGTCTAAGTATCCAAGCAAAGTGGGGACCCCTCTTGGCCACAGAGACCCTGCAGGAAGCAAATTGTCCTTTCCACCCATGTAAGTGCACGGGCTGGGCAGCACAGTCTGGATTCGGTGTGGATTTGGTCTTTGGTCAGGTGACAACCACACTCCACCCCCGAGGCGGATGCCGCCTAAGGCTGTTCGCCTCCCGGCAGCAGGCTTCGGGGGTGTCGCTGCAGTTGCGCAGCCTCCGGCGGCCCGGCCTGTCCCCTGGCCTCTTTTCCCATCTTCCCTTCCCTCCTGATGCTCCCAGGCCCTGTGGCCCCTCTCTCCCCTTCTCGTCTCGGGTGCCTGTGAGCGCCGGGCTGAGCTCTCTCCTCCATCAGCCCGAGTCCTGCCTTCCCCTTCTCGGGAACCCCCTCACCCAGGCTCAACCTGCCAACCTGGGACCACTCATCCTGATACGTGTGCGCCACTCAGTCCTGCCACCTTCTGTCCCTGGGGCCTGACCCCCGGGGTCCATGCCAAGTGAGCCCCCGACTCTGCATTCCGCTGGAGCATCCATCAGGTGCCCTGACGTTAGGGTAGTTGCCCAGCTGGAGAGAGGGCCCCTGATGCCTGCTGTTTCTCTTCACTTTCCCAGAATCCCATTTTAGTGCCAGAACTAATGCCGTTAATTGTCCGACTAATTCTTCAAATGGCTTCTCCCCTAATGGGCGGAGGGGAAGGGGAGCGATCAGTCAGTCACATTATGAGTGACAAATGTCATGAGAGCACCGCACTCACACTATGAGGGCAAAAACATTCTATCATCTGCCTAACTGTCCGTCTCTCTATCCATTCGTCCTTCTGTCTATCCCCCTATCTATCTGTCATCCATCTCTCTGTCCTGTCTACCCATCCATACCCCCATCTATCTACCATCTATCTATATCTATATAGATATTTCTATATATATCTATAGATATAGATACATCTATATTTCCATGTCTCTCTGTCTATACACACAAAAGGGAGCCATTCAGAGCCATTGGGAAGACCCCTAATAACAACAGAGTGATTCACAAGTCAGAAACCCGAGGCTCAGAGGGAACAGGTGATGTACGTGCCCTGTTTGACACCTGAGTACATGCTGCTTTGGCCATGTCGATCTCCTTGCCTCTAAACGTAGGTTGCAATAAGGTCTGTAAAGATACAGCCACAGAGGTGAATAGAAGGCAAAGCTGTGCAAAGAAGCAGAAGATAATCTGTAATGTGAACTGGGCAGAACTCATTAAGGAAATAATAATAATTTGTTGCAAAGTGGTAGAGTCTGAGTCACTCATCCCTCCCCAGGGATGGGAGAGTGCTTTCAGGAGAAAGCTCTCTGGAGAATGCTGGAATTCAGCTTCTTCTCATTGGCTGTTCTGAAGAAAGGCTTTTGGAAGCTGAGCTAAGTGTGAGCCGAACTAAGTATGAGTGTCCAGGAGATGCTTGGTGGTCACTTCTTTATGCTTAAAAGTGGAGAGAGATTGAGAAAGAGGTGGAGAGAGGCACGGAGAGAAGAGAACCATCTCTATGATGTCTTTAGGAACAATAACATATGTAACTTAACATGAATATGTTTGCTTCTGCATTTTCATTCACCTTTGTACTTAAGTGCTTAATTTTTCTCTTTTTAGACCTGGTCAAAGACCCAGTTCACCTACAAACTTTTCCAAACTGATTAGCAATGGATATAAGGATGAGTGGTTACAGCAGCAAGCAGACTCAGACAAGAGGACCCCGCAAACCCCTCGATCCTCTGTCTCATCTCCATCCCCACTGGACGCTGAGCCGCCCCCAGACCCAGAAGCTCCTGGAGGCGCCAAGGAAGCCCCAGGTGAGGAGCATGGCCACCGAGACCCCTTGTCTCATTAATTGTATCATAATGAGAGATCCAAAAGTCACATAAAAAACCTACGGGAAGTATTGAGGTTACAGGCACACATGAGGATAATGTGTATTTTTTTTTTCCTCTATTCAGATGAATAGCAAAAGTCATTATTTCTGTAGCTTTACATTTTCTTTCAGTTGAAAATTCTGATGTTTCTTGTGTTGTACCACACACATAACATCGGTTTTAGTCTCCTGGATCCAAAAGGTTCTGACGCACGCAATGACTGGTCTTCTCTGAGGCAGCTTCGGAAAAAGCCATGGTTGTGAAAACCACTAGCAGTTCAAGTTGAAGTTGTGCCACTGTCAACACTTTTTACACTTCGTCACTGAACTTTAGATATTAACAGTTTAGTCCTTTCCCTGACATTTGCTATCCAGAAACTCTATAACAATCGCAGTCACAGGGACAGTTGGTCTTATATTTGGCTTCGTCCATGTTCAAGTCTATCTGCTATGTTTAGTTTCTGTTGTTGTTCAGTCGCCAAGTCATGTCCGGCTCTGCGACTCCATGGACAGCAGTAGGCGAGGCTTGCCTGGCCTTCACTGTCTCCCGGAGTATGTAGCTCTAGGAATTATTGACCATTTACCTTTAGGAAACTTAGGTTCACCCTGAGGCTTCAGTTCTCTGATTAAGGAGGAAGGAACTGTGCTGTGTCCCTTCAAGCATCTCAGGAGTTTTATGTGGTATTTTATGTATGATCTCTGCCCACCTTCCCATCCAGTGGGCACCTCGCTGCCCAGACACTGTCTTAATGACACCCTCCCTCCACAGTTTTCAGTAATTATTAAAAGTAATTCTTTTAAAATCATCCTGTTTTATTGAATTGAAAAACTGATCTACTTGTTCTTTATTCCAGAGTCTTCTCCTCCGAGTGAGTATTTTTAGAGAAACTGACCTTGGTCCAAATATAAAACGTGTCTCAGACACACAGAACAGTCCATGGACGTGGTTCTTGAACCTGAAGCTGATGTAGCTCAGAAGCCTGTGAGATCCCTCTCCAAACTGCTGGTGTCCTGACTATAAAAGCTGGTGCCATCTACCCCTCTAAAAAGTCGAGTTCTAGTGACACAGCCCGGGGACAGCGAAAGAAGGACCACTTACATTACTACAATAAGATGAGTCTTTTATGCAGATCACACTAGAGCATATTTCAGTTCACTTTAGAGACGTACGTTTTATTAGGCACTGTGAGAGAGCTGTGGGTTTAAATAATGGTAAAGAAGTGAAAGGGGTTTCCAAGATGACTCAGCAGTGAAGAATCCGCCTGCCACTCAGGAAACACAGATTCAACCTCTGGGTCAGGAAGATCCCCTGGAGAAGGGAATGGCAACCCACTCCAGTATTCTTGTCTGGAGAATCCCATGGAGAGAGGAGCCTGGCAGGCTACAGTCCATGGGGTCGCAAAAGAGTCGGATGCGACTTAGCAACAGAGTACAAATGAAAGGCCACGAGAGGACCCCAACTTAAATACAGATGTGGCAGGCACCAAGGCCCACCTACGGAGGGTCTCCGAGGGGTTTTAGCATTGTTTTTCTGCATGGTCTTAAGTAGACAGAATTTACTTCACCACCACCAAAATATCTTATCTGATTAAAGAACTATTACTGGACATTAGTCTAAGGTTATGTACTTTCTACTGGGAAGTAAATCATTGCACGTGTTATATAATATTCATGTGTTTGAATTTGCAGCAAGACCCTCTGAACCTCAGAGGAAATTTTTCACAGCTCAAAGTTAGTATAAGACCGAGTAGGCAGGAAAGGCCCTGTAACTTGGCAGAATCACCATGCAGTTGAGCCAACCGGCCTCTGCACATTTTCTGGGTCACTGAGTGTCCCTGCCTGCCGACCCTCCCCGTCCCTCACCAAGACTTCTGATCTGCTGGGTGCTGCGGCTGACCTCGGTCACACTCTGCCCAGGGTCTCCTGGTTCTCCTCCTGCCCATCCCGGCTTTTCACTTGATAAACAGCAATCGCCCACCCAGGGCATTCCTTTTCTTTCCATGGAAAGCACCACCTTTCCCTGCCTTCCACCGCAGCCAGCCGCTGCAAGCCTAGACCTTATCACGTCTTCTTGAATGGGTTTTCCTTCAACTAGACACAGAACTATTGTTTCTCACTGCAGTTTTTGCAGCCCCACTAGGTGCCTCTGACACTGCCAGACCAATGCCTTTAGCTGAGTGGCAGCATGTCGTCCCTGGAACGGTGTGCAGGGCGCTGCGCCAGGGTGTGGGCCTGCAGCCTCCGCTGGGGCAGGGCAACCGGATGGCTCTGAGCCGCCCCCTGCCCAGCCCCACTCCTCAATGCGCTCAGCATTTTTTGGTCAGCAGTCTTCTCAGCACGTGCAGGACTGACTCGGGGACCACCAGCTGCCTGCGAGTTGGAAGCCGATGTTTCTGACACGTGATTAGTGCCTTGAGGGTAGGACAGTACTAGAATTTTATGTAGACTACAGTTATAATCCGGTAAATAGGATTACTACTTTAGTAAATCAGTACAGAGACATTTCTTCTCTTTTATTTAAAATAATAGGTTAGGGACTTGCCTGACAGTCCAGTGGTTGACTTCCCCTTCCAATGCAGGGGTTGCAAGTTTGATCTCTGCTCAGGGAGCTAAGATGCCACCTACCTCCTGGCCAAAAAACCCAAAACAGAAACAGAAACAATATTGTAACAAATTTAGTAAAGACTTTTAAAAATGGTACACATGGGCCTCTCAACCTTCTGAGATGGCCCACACTCTGTCTGGGGAGCCTGTTTCTCTCTAAATAAACCCACTTCTTAGCTATCAAAAAAAAAAAAAAAAAGATGATACACATTTAAAAAAATTACCTTGCAGAAAAAAAATACAATTAATAGGTTAGATGTTTAAATTTGCGAAACAGGCCATCTTGATATCTTTACTCATCGACTCCTTGTTTTACATTGCAGGTTCAGCACCACCTCCACCCAACTCAACGCCCGTGGAGCTCAAATAAACGCGGATGTAAAGAGCATCCTGGATCTATGTTATGGCTACAGTCACAAGTCCCCTGTTATAGTTTTTTAACAGATTCTTACAGTGATCGTCTTAGAACAGATGTGAACTCCCTGCTGCCTGGGGGTGCTGACTTCGGTTTTGTTTCTTGCGTCTCTCTGGGATGGTGGGCGAGTGGCCTTTGCCCCGCTGCACCTTGCTGGCCTAGGATGTCAGGGTCGCTTCCTCCGCATCCGCAGTAGATATCACGTCACCTGCTGTGTGAGCCTCTGTGGGCCCCACTTCTACTGAAATCTGAAATCGGCGGTTTAGATGCTTAACTGGAAAAAACTCACCCAAAAGATTTTTTACTGTTTTGGTCCTGAAATTTTTGTAGAAATAATTTTTCTGTTACAAAACAGCATTTAATTCCAGAATATTGTGATACAGTTTATATTAAGAAAAAGATTGATTTGTTATACCTTGAAGTTTTAAACATTTAATATAAAAACATTGCAGCATTTTCTAGTTTTAAATATTTGACAATATTTTTTACATAAACCGAAATTCATAATAGTGAACATTTATTGTTTTGCATTAAGTAAAAATGTTTAAATAATTAATTTAGTAGTCTTAACAAAAATGTTTTACTACAGAGACAGTTCTCTCATTTTATAAATTTCATTGCCACTTATATGTAAGTAAGCATAAAATGTAGTTTTATATTTTGTGCATTTAATTCATTAATAAAATGAAAATTTTCTGCTGGAAGATTTTCAGGCAGCCAAGTAAAGTCAGAGGTATTTTAGCTTCTTTCCCAAAATAAACTTATCATGTACTTGCTCACCTCAAGTTGAAGTTTTCAGTTAATTCTTCATTTAAAGATACTGAGTTGAGCACGTGAATCTGTACCCTTGAATCAGCCACAAGGAGATGGTGAGTGGTGTGTGCGCTGAACAGAGAGAGTTAGCTTTAGGGGAAGCTGCCAACTTTCTTTCCTTTGTCACTCTTTCCTTCCTCTTTAAAACCTACCCCATCCTCACCTTTCCCTCCCCAAGAAAAAACCATCAGGAACAGATACAGTAGCTTAGTTAGTGTTAGTTGCTCAGTTGTGTCCAGCTCTTTGTGACCCTATGGACTATTGCCCACCAGGCTCCATGGGGATTCTCCAGGCAGGAATACTGGAGTGGGTTGCCATTCCCTTCTCCAGGGGATCTTCCCCATTAAAGATGGGGATCAAACCCGGGTATCCTGCATAGCAGGCGCATTCTTTACCGTCTGAGCCAGCAGGGAAGCCCCATACAGTAGCTTATGACCATTTAATTCTGTTTTGAGGGTATTAGAGTACAGAAACCTGTGGTTTAGGGAGAGGACAGACTTTGGGGCAGGGACCTGCGACCAGACCTCGGTTCCATGCAGGGCCTCTGGTGTCTGTTACTGGTAAAAAACAACCCTGCAGTTAACTTTTTGCTTGGTAATAAACAACAGACTTTATGAAAACAGAAGTTTTGCACATTCCATCCAATTATTTTGAAGCAAAGCGCTTTTGCCAAAAGATAGAAGATATAGCAAAATCATTCTAAATAAAAATTGTCAGCTTAAACCAGCAAAAAAAATAATGTGTTTAATGAAATATTTCTTTTACACACATGTGCGTGTAGGCATGGGCGCACACACCCTCCCAGGGTCCTGATGATTTTGTGACAAGCATCTGGCAACCTCAGCTCAGCACAGACTGCTCTCAGAGCTTAGCTCTGAGCCTCGGTTTCCTTCTTTATCAAAAGGAGATATTTCCTATCCAAAGGCTGTTGTGAGGATTAACCAAAATAAGGTTCAGCCAGGTTCCTGACACAACATCTGACACAGTACTCAATCATTCTCTCAGCTTTCAGAAATCCAGTGCTCAGTTTGGTGGTTGGCTTACCCATGAAGGGAGCCCCAGACTCACAAAGGAAAACCAGCGTCCCTGGAAAAAGCCATGATTCTTAACTGTCAGCTGATTAACTTTCCATTTATGCACAGCCTTGAGAGCTGCCTGAAATGGGCCCATGGAAAGCAAAGCAGAGATTAGTGGAAAAGTGAAAAGACCAGAGCTTCAAGGAGAATGCAGAACAAAAACAACAGTGAGGCAGCACAGAGAGAAGGTGGAAATAAATGTCAGGATTAGAGCGGACGTGATGGTGGAGGAGACTGAGGCTCTGAACCCCTCAAAGGGCTTAACTTGAGTCCAAGAAACAGCTTAAAAAATTGGCCAGACTGTACCCTGAAAAGCAAAAGAAAGTCCAAATGGGTTTGCTGGCGAATTGTACCAAACTTGAAGAAATTATAATTAAAATACATGACATAATTTAATATATAATATAAATATAATTGTGACTGTATAATTATAATTTATAATTTGTGAATTAGTTATAATTATACTAACTTTACAATCTCTTCCAGAAGATAGAAGCAGAAAGAATAATTCCTAAATCATTCATGAGCTCATCATTATCTGGATACTAAATTCAGACAGACATTACAAGAAAATTAGGCATGCAAATTAAAATATCTCTCATGAACATAGATGCAAAAATCTCTAACAGAATATTGGCACGTTACATCCTAAAATAGGGGCTTCCCTGGAGATTCAGTGGCTAAGACTCCACATTCCCAATGCAGGGACTCAGGTTAGATCTTTGGTAAGGGAACCAGAGCTCAGATGCTATCTGCTGCAACTAAGAGGTCACGTGCCACAGCGAAAGATCTCATGTGATCCAGCACAATTTGATCCCTGGTCCCTCTGCCTTTTCTAAATCCAGCTTGAACATCTGGAAGTTCATGGTTCATGTATTGTTGAAGCCTGGTTTGGAGAATTTTGAGCATTACTTTGCCGGCATGTGAGATGAGTGCAATTGTGCGGTAGTTTGAACATTCTTTGGCATTGCCTTTCTTTGGAACTGGAATGAAAACGGACCTTTTCCAGTCCTGTGGCCACTGCTAAGTTGTCCAAATTTGCTGGCATATTGAGTGCAGCACTTTCACAGCATCATCTTTTAGGATTTGAAATAGTTCAACTGGAATTCCATCACCTCCACTAGCTTTGTTGGTAATGATGCTTCCTAAGGCCTATTTGACTTCACATTCCAGGATGTCTGGCTCTAGGTGAGTGATCACACCATCGTGATTATCTGGGTTGTGAAGATCTTTTTTGTATAGTTCTGTGAATTCTTACCACCTCTTCTTAATATCTTCTGCTTCTGTTAGGTCCATACCATTTCTGTCCTGTATTGAGCCTATCTTTACCTATTAGTCATGACAGATACATTCACAGGATGGATTGAAGGCTTTCCCACCCAGACTGAGAAGGCTGAGGAGGTGATTAAAAAATTGCTCCATGAAATCATTCCGAGATTTCGCCTGCCCAGGTCATTACAAAATGACAATGGGACATCATTTACTTTTAAGTTCATCCAAGGGGTCTCTAAAGCTTTGGCTATTACTTTTATCTCTATTGTGTCTGAAGGCCTCAGTCTTCAGGAAAAGTAAAAAGAGACAACCAGTTCTTAAAATCAGCAATAAAAACGATAACCCAGGAGACCTCCCTGAGATGGAAGGAGGCTTTACCAATAGCTCTCCTCCACACCTGTACTGCCCCTAAGGAACAGGTTGGTCTTAGTCCTTATGAGATGCTCTATGGGAGACCTTTTGTTTATGTTATGACCTCTTCCTAGATCCAGAGGCTCAGACCCTCTGGTCTTATACCAAGGCCATTGGGCAATTCCAACAGGATATACACTTGTAGGGTGTCAACCAGGACCCAAAGGATTCTTTATTTTTTTTTTTCCCAAAGGATTCTAAAGAGCCACCACTATATGAGTCCAGGGACTCATTAAAGTCCTAATTAAAGTCTGGAAAGATGGGTCCCTAAAGGCTCAACTGCAGCTACATGGAAGGGCCCCTACCCTGTAATACTTTCTACCCACAGCAGTCAGGGTACCAGGACACAACTCCTGGATTCACCACTCATGAGTCAAGCTGTGGAAAAAAAGAGGGACACTCAATACACCTGTGAGCCCCTGGGAGATCTCAGATACCTATTCAGGACTACAAATGAGTGCCATTCTAGTGAACACCCCCAAAATTAAGTTTCTGGGGATAAGATTTCTCGGGATAGCTCTAAAGAGCCAACACAGCTTGGCAGGGGTTGTCCTCCAAAGTAGACAGGAGATGGATCTCCTGATCCCTGAACAAGGAGGGATTTGAGCCATCTTGAATGACATGTGTTGTTTCTGGGTAAATACCTACAACTAAGTTAAAGAAAGTCTCACAGTACTCAAGAAAAACATTCAGGTCCTACAGGATCTCAAAGAACGATTTGGAGAGTTCTCTGGGTGAGTACAGTCTCTCTTTGTGGGATCCTTCTACTGGTGCTGGAGAAGTCGCAGTTGGCTAATGCCCCTACTAATCCCTGTTATCACCATATTGATTCTACTTATGATTGCTCCATGTATTATCAATTGTCTCACCCATCTTGTCTCTGCCCAGGTCAACAAGCTATAACATGCAGTAGCAATTCAACAAAGATATATAAAACTCCAGCTGACCACAGAAAATATCACTCACCCCTAGATGGACACTGGTATAAGGATTCTGAGGCTTGAGGCTAGCAAGAAGGGGAGGCCCAATGCCCCTCTCCATCCCTGTTCAGCAGGAAGTAGCCAGAGAGACCTCGATGCCCATATTCCCAAAGAATTGGGCCTCCCATTTTTTGAGGAGGGAACGTTAGGTAGTTAGATTAGGAAAAACAAGTCCAAAATAGTGGTGGCTAAAAGATAAAGAAGAGAAAAGCCTGTGAGAATGGAACAAAGAAAGGTCCAAGGATGGGAGTGAGAACCTCAGGTGAAACAAACAGCCCTCCTGGCTAGCCCAATTTACATAGGGCAGGCTCAGGGGGAGGAGACAAAACATAAAAAGAGGAGCCAAAATTGAGCCTCAGGCTTCTCCTCTCTACTCTGCGCTTCTTTGGGGTCTGCCTGCCCT